CTTTCGCTTTTATAATATCGGTTGGTGTACACAAGAATTTGTTTATTTATATTTTATTGCGCAAAATAAAAAAAACCGTCAAGTGCGAATCGCATTTGTACACAATGTTTTTTCACAAATCTTGTAAACAGGTTTCTAGTTTTCTTTGTATGATAATTTATATACATATGTATGTATATATGTATGATGATGGAATTTGTCTATGCTTATATATACTAGTTAACCCAGCTAACGTTGTTTTGTCACATAATTTGAAGTGCTAATATCGCTATTAATAATAGGGGAAGTCATAAATAAAAAATAAAAATTAAAAAAAAAATTAGGGGGGTCACACTTATCATATGTATAAGGGGTACGAAAAAGAAATGTTGGCTGATTCTCAGACCTACCCGATGTGAACACAAAATCTCATAAAAATCCGGAATTCGGAGAAGTTTGGTAACAGATGTCGTGACACAAGAATTTTATATATTAAATATATATATTTACATTAACATATTATCTACCGTATATAATATATTATACAGATAAAAATGAATTACACAAATATATATTTAATTTTCCGTAAGTCCTGAATACTTAGTAAATATATACTAGACACTAACTTTATTAGTGTATTTAAACTACATATGACTGTGAAATTGGAACGTATTATTAAGTTTATTTAAGCAAGACATACACATTCCATCACGTGATACCTCTGCTTGTTAGCAATAATATAAATATAATTAATGACATGAAAAATGCTTCATGAATTAACTTAACTTCAAGTTGCAAAATTGCTATCGAATTTGGTCACTTATATTGTAGGTTTCCAAACTAATAATCTTATATGCAATGATAGAATTGTCTTATGAGCCGCATAAAAAATGTTTACTGCATAATATAAATAAGGAATTTTTCCTCTCATGAAAGAGATGACAATATGATATTATTCAAGTTGAAGTGAGACAGCGATCCTGAAAGACGACACGAGTGAAAGTGAAGCGGATATGTTGCAAGTCTCCTGCGCGCATTACGCTCCGTGTTGTGATGTTTGGTTTTAGGTTTAGTGGTCACGGGTTCGATTGAATTAACCAATAAAAGAAGGAAGTTCACAATGTCGAATGTATTTATTTGTAATATTATTTAAGAACTTTTTTCTACATAAATCGATTTTGATGATTCTTTTATGTGAAGACTGGTGCCTATCTTGTGGTCTCATATATAATAAGTAGTGATCATTTTTATCATTCTTTTATTTGTTAGTTGTCACGAGTATGATTGTTTGAATCTGTCTGGGTGTTTTCTATCTATAATATGTATGTATTTACGAATTAAAAATATATATCTCTGTATTTGTATCAGTTGTCTAGTACTCATAACATAAGCTTTAGCTAGCTTAACTTGGGTCTAGATGGCGCTGCGTGAATTGTCTTGAATTGAAATATATATCTGTGTATATGTATCAGCTATCTAGTACCCATAAGACAAACTTTAGCTAGCTTAACTTCTAGGTCTAGATAATATTAATAATAATAATTACTATATATTCATAACTAAACGGTTAAACGGATCTTAATAATAACAATAATCTCAGGACAATTCACACAGCGCCATCTAGACCCAAGTTAAGCTAACTAAAGCTTGTGTTATGGGTACTAGATAACTGATACAAATATATAGTGTTTGTTTTCGTAAATACATACATATTATACATAGAAAACACCCAGACCGATACAATCAATCATACTCATGTATACAAATGTTTGTGCCGTGCGAGGATCAAACCCGCGACCATCGGACGTAAAGCGGTGTGCTAAACCGCTAGACCACCGAGGTCGACCACCTAGATGGTGCAAATCTATGTATTTGAATCAGTTATCTAGTACTCCTAACACAAGTTTTAACTTGTTGGCGCTGTGTGAATTATCTTAATACCATTATTATTATTACATGTATCTAAAATGGAACCTTTACGATAAACTCTATCTATAGACAACTATATATTATGTTTATATTATACTATTATAGTCTAAGAATGTCAGGAAACTGACTCGTTTTACTGTAATAACTGCCGTAACCGCAACCGCGGGAGAAAGTTCAAGTTAAAACCATATACCCTGACAGGGTGTCAAGAGCAATAGTTATTTTATATGCATTTAAATTAAACAATATATTGAATTCAAAACATCTGTTAGATGATATTTACTGAGCAAAGCCTATTACTCACCAAACGATTACTGACGAGCGTGCATGGATTCAAAAAAGTCAATAGGTCTTTTATGGGAATAGGTATAAAAAATTACAATAAGATACCAAAGGATATACTGGAATTATCCTTAAATAAATTCAATATATCTGTTAAATCATATTTACTGAGCAAAGCCTATTACTTACTAAACGATTACTTGAAAGACGAGCGTGCATGGCAATAGTTGTTCATGCAAGGGATTTTCATTTAATATTAGGTATAGACACCTACATAAATATACATTGTAAATTAATTGGCTTTAAAAAAGTAATTCAATTGAGTTTTTGCCAGTTCTTCTCTCTCTCTTTCTTCTCTTCTCTTCTCTCCAATTCTGAGTTGGATCTATATATTGAACTGGGCGGTAGTGAAAGAATTATAATGTTAAACATATGTCGTTCTACAGCGGTTAAAATGTCCTACAATTACAAATGATTTTTGAATTTTGGCTTATTTTTTATTTTATATATTTATTTATGTAAAACTAGCGACCTGCTATTAGATACACTATGTCCATTTTTTTTTCGGACTACTCTAATGCTGTTGACAGCAGCTGGAATTTACAGCTTCATCGGACAATCCCCTATTGTGTGCGAGAGCAGATGGCACTCCAAACCCGCGGAAGGACTTATGGAGCGGCTGAAGGCCAACTCCCGCCTGACGGATACGACTTTAGTCTGAGGGCACCGTAAACCTTGGAGTTTGAATTGGACAGAGGATTGATCAGACATAGTCTAGTGTATAGAATAAAATGAATGTTGTACAAAATAAAGAAATAGCAAGACAATACGTTGCTACATATGTCGAAAATACGTTCTATTTCGCTGTAAATTTAATGGACTAAAGATTACCAAACTAAAATATGGTTTTACGTAAATAATTGATGCTCGGGCTTAGTTGTAAATTTCAGTTGTAATCGGTAATTGAATAGAACATGTTGCTTGTATTTGTAAAAGTACTACCATTGTGTTTAAATTAATTTATATTCGAGTTTTTATATTCCACGTTTAAATTTGGCAAGTTCCATAGACAATTTTCAAAGTATTTTTAATCTGTATCCTGCCTTGGTTTGGCGGGAATGTTATTAAAAATTGTATTTGTGAAAGTGGAAATATTCCAATTATAAATATATTTACAACTTGGCGGATTAAAGTAATAATACTTGTGCAATATTTGTTATATTCTCCTCTTCCCTCATGTTACAACTTTTGACACTACAATCTTAAAAAAAATGTACTTTTCGTCATTATTCAAGTTAGGAATTTAATTTACCATGCAGACTTGGCTGTATGGGAGCAGTTCCCTTTGCCTCCTTTTACCCTGTAAAAAATAAACAGAACAGAAAAAAAATATATACAGAACGAAAATAAAACAACTTTTACATAATTATGTGTATATTGATGTGAGTTAGGTAGTTTATAAAAACAAACTATTCATAAACAATCACATGCATTTTTATATTATCTGTGAGTCTTTTTATTACCTTATTAAAAGAAGAGATGATAAAATAAATAATGAAGTGTTATATGTTATTTATAATTGTGATATTAGTCATGTTGGAAATGAATTCTGCCAAAAAGAACGTTAAACGAAAATATCGTGAATTGAGGAGGAAATTTAGCTATGAAGGTACTTCAATTGTTTTATATACAAATGTTTCCCAAATTGTAGTATTGTACAAAGTCATTGAAAATTAAAAATACTGATATTTGCGATTATAAGTGTCACAGATATTATCTGTGGCACTTATAATCCACAATATTATATATAATATAAAATACTTCTATCAGAAGAATATATAATAAATCGTAATTTTCTTCTTTTATTTAAGAATACGCTTTTCTATAATATCCAATATTTTCCTATAATATCTTATCGGCAAAATTCTTAGAAATTTCTTTGTGCGTATATATTATGGGTACTAAATAACTTACTCTTATACTTAAGTCATATAAATATAAATATTCAAACTCATACAAATGCTTTGTATCGTGTGAGGAATTGAACCAATTACCGATTGGCGGGGTGCTAAATCGCTACTACACCTAGAACGCTTAATAAATTATATAAAAGTACTTTTTGTATTAATACTGATTATTTATTTATTTATTATGATTACTTCGATATATTTGTATTGCATTGGTAAATATTTATTTCTTTAATGAAATAAAATAATATTTCTCTGTGCCCATGAAAGTTTTGATGTTCGGATTAATTTTGCTATTATTTTTACGTCAGGAGTTTAGCTGTTTACTAAGCTTTGTTTTGTCTCAATTCAACATTACTTAGTGCATTTATAAAATAAAACTTCACATGAACAGTCCCTTGGAACCACAGATAAGATAATATTCTTGGAACATAATAAATTATGTACGGAAATTGGTAACTTTATTTAGAAAGGTGTGGTTGTATACAATTGTTCTCATAGACTTATTTTGAAGGTTTCTTCCCATGTGCGAGCCCGTCTCATTTAAAACAAAAAATATTTAGTTTGAATCTAAGCTAGAACATTTTTTAGAACCATTAAATGCACGTTGCTATATAGAATTATTTATGATTACTTTGAATTATTTATTTAAGCTTTAATTATCAATAATTATGGTTTAAATTAGCGGACTTGATTAAACCTTTAGTTGTGCGCCCAGATTGATGCCATATCGTTTCAAGGGTTTGGAATACCCTGCACATTCGCTTCCTTTTTAGTTTGGCGAGGCTGTAAATGAAATTGAAGAATAAAAAAAATATATCTTTATATTTTTTTTTATTTCAGGTTGTGGCATAGCGGTCAGCAAACAAACAGCCCAAAGAAGAATAGTTGGCGGCGATGACGCGGGATTTGGCACTTTTCCTTGGCAAGCCTACATCAGGATAGGATCTTCCAGGTTACAATTTTTTTTTAAATAAATCACCGAATTGTAATAGGAAAATACAGAATTAGCCGTAAAAGTATAAATAACAAGTTATAAGTCAGGTCGTACTTACGAAATTGATCCACATGTACCAAGAAGTAAAGTCGAAATCTGAAAATTAAAATTGAACTAATCGAATATCCGCGCAGTTTGTATCTACATAGGATTTAGAGATTGTATTCAGATTCAGTTTACTTCTTGGGGTTTATTTTTTTTTTTTTATTAATGAATACTATTACAGGCTATTGTAAAAATCCAATAATGCGTCTTTTCTGGATGTAAAAACACTTAGATAAAAGTTGTATGTATGTAATATTCACAACTTGCACCATACAATATGGTTTCCTTTACTAATGAGTCGCCCCAAGTTTGTTCGGGTACTCATAACTGTGTAAATTTTGTATATATTGACATAATATGTATTTTATATCACTCTGGAATAATATATCTTTCAAACAGGGAAAGAATTTCTCAAATCGGTGCAGTGGTTAGGAGCTTTCTGTCCCCATAAAAAAAGTATTCTCTCTATCTTTATAATATTACTAGCTACTCGCCCCGGCTTCGCCCGGGTGTACATACATGTGGTATATATATATATATATATATAAACCTTCATCGCTCTATCTGTTAAAAAAACCGCTTCAAAATCCGTTCCTTAATTTTAAAGATTTAAGCATACATAGGGACAGACAGCGAACGCGACTTTATTTTATACTATGTAATTAATGATTAAAGATATAATAAGAGGGTTCGTATTATGGGTGATAACCATCACTTTTTTTTTTATTTTTAATTTTTATTTGTCGCTCTCTTTGTGCCGACTTACTTTTGGCCTAAGTAAATATTTTTGTATGTGTAATCTCTTGTTTTTTGTTGTCTTTTTTTAATTTTTAACTGTTGGTTATAAGAATTTGCAGCAATCCGTATTAATATTCTATATACGAAGGGTATGTCTGTATGTTTACTATCTATTCATAACTAAACGGTTAAACGGATCTTAATAATAATAATAATCTCAGGACAATTCACACAGCGCCATCTAGACCCAAGTTAAGCTAGCTAAAGCTTGTGTTATGGGTACTAGACAACTGATACAAATACATAGATAATTTTATTTCGTAAATACATACATATTATAAATAAAAAATACCCAGACCGATACAAACAATCATACTCATGAATACAAATGTTTGTGCCGTGCGAGGAATCGAACCCGCGACCATCGGACGTAAAGCGGTGTGGTAGTCCGAAATGAATGAAATTAACTCATTAGTATAGCGTATCCATATTTTATATAACAACCAACCTGTGTCATATCTAAATTCTACTTCTGTATAAATGTTGATACAATACAACTCCATCGTATTCCTTATTCTGCCTTATATACCTATATTTTAGTCTTCCTCTTATCTTCTTTCCTTGTATTTTACTTTCATACTAATGTACAGAATTGCCATATCAAGTATTAAAATTCTTATCCACCTTGTCTTCAATAGTTTTAAATAATAATATAATATATGTAATACCTCTGGACAAGTCACACAACGTCAGCTAAGCAGAGCTTGTGTTATGTACTAGACAATTGTTAATAAATACATTTTTTTTTATATCATAATTTGAGCGCGTTTGACCGCAATCTCACCTGATCTGTGGTCTAAGCTGTTACACGCAAGCTCAAATAATACCTATAATATTTATATATATATACTAGCTACTCGCCCCGGCTTCGCACGGGTGTACATGTATTATATATATAAACTTCCTCTTGAATCTCTCTATCTATTAAAATAAATCGCTTCAAAATCCGTTGCGTAGTTTTAAAGATTTAAGCATACATAGGGACGGACAGACAGCGACAGAGATTTTATTTTATACTATGTAATACACACATAACATACATAGATGCACCATAATAACATCATACGTGTAAAATTCAAATTCAAATTCAAAAATCATTTATTCGGTGTATGTAGGACATTTTAGCCGCTTATGAACGTCAAAACTCCTTTGTTAACATTAGCTGTAATTAATATACTTACAAATGTATTTAAGTGCAATAAAGAATATTTAAAATTTTTAAATTATAATATTAATTTTTTCCCTACCGTCCAGTTTTGTAGAGATCCAATTGAGAAGAACTGGCAAGAAACTCAATTGTATTACTTACTTAAAATTATGCGTAAATGCAATTATTATACAATACTAGCTGGGCGGTTTTAAAATATATCGTGAAAATAATTTTATCAGTATCGCGGCTCATCGAGGTTACTTGAGAGCTGGTAGCTACTTTCTTTGCCCATAGGGTAAGTATGGCAATTCAGGCAATATTGCCAGTATCCTGGGTACACTACCTCGATGTGTCGCGTTCGATTACAACTATTGTATTTTTTGTGACTGTTTATAGTATTTAAGTAATTTGGGTTTATTAAATATAGTTGTTTCGATGTTACTTTACCGTACTAATAGTTTTTTTTTGTAAATATTTTTTTTACATTTAATTAGTTTTTTTTAAGATAATTAGAAGTATACTTGTAATATTTAACTTGTAAAACCTTTAGGACTATGAGTGATAAAATAGTATCGGAGTTGGCCTTCAGCCGTTCGAAGTTTGAATGCGTTTCTATGTTGCTTATCGCATAATTTATTTAAAAGTAACACGTAAGTTACTCGCGAGACTACAGCGTGGGGTTTTTCAAGATGGGTATATTAAGGTTTGTTAAGGGTCGGCAACGCGCACGTAACACTACTGGTGTTTCAGGCGACGGAAACCATTTACAATCAGATGGGCCGTATGCTTGTTTGCCACCACCTGTAGTATTAAAAAAAAAGATTCTGGTTTATTTTTATTGTGTGTCTGCGTTCTGAATAAAAAAAAATATGCACATGCTCATGTACCTGTACATTTCTAATTTTGTGTTACATATACTAATATTTACTAAAATACTAACACTAACAATATACTATAATTTATATATTTTAACCATATATATGTATGTACTTAAATAAAATGTTAAATCAATATTTTTTTGTTATAGTAACATTAGTGCAATAAAGGTAATTTCAACGTTATATGTATATGGCAACTCTTTTCTATTTTCTCTGTACTAGTAAACACTATAACGCTCTGTATGAATGTTTAAAATTTATATTTTTATTTTCTATTCTAATAATTGCATTCTATTAATTTTGTACTATTTTTAATACACTTGATTGTTGTTGTACATTGTCCAATTCTATATACAATTACTACGAAAATGGGGTTTAAAGCACAGCTTTAAATGAGTCATAACAGAGTAACAGAAAGAGATAGAGTAAATCTTCATGACGCAGGTTAATCAAAGGTATAGTGATGGTTATCATTTTCCCCAAAGTGGGTTATTCCAGTTACATAAAACTATAAATGTTTTTGTGAATATTATTTGTAAATAAAGGTTAATGGTTACTTTTTAATAATATTAATTGTGTGTAAATATTACAATCGTTAAATTACTATTATTCATTTATATATTATGTCTAATTTCTATTTCTTACATTCTCATATTAAAAAATACAAGTACCGCCATTTTGTTTTAGTTGGCGGGAAAATCTACTCTATCTATGATTAATTACAATCATGCACTACTAACTAATGTATATAAATTATATGTCCTTTTAAAGTTAATTTAGGTTTTTAAAACCATATAAATCTTACAAATCTATAGTTTAAATCAATAATTGAACAGATTCACAGAGCAATTGACACTAATTTTTGTCTTTTTTTTACTGTGTGTTACAAATAAAGTACATTCTACCTATCAATGTATGTAGGTAATTTTTATAAAAGAGTTGGCACTTTACCAAAATAGAATCTATGAAATAAATTGTAACAGTTAGAAAAACAATTTTTTGGACAGGTTTATAGAAAAAAAAGAATTTCTTTCAATATAGTGCTTGTATATGTGGACAAAACTTTCAATATGTATTTATGCAAATAAGTGCGTACAAATATGCCATGCCTAAAAGAATTGGTTGCACAGATCCATACAAAAATTGTCTGCTCAGTACATTTATTTTTATGTAGGCAGAGTCGACTTTGTGTGTATTTAAATTTTATTATCAACTTTAATATGTTAGCATTAAAGTCCAATTTCTTAAATGTTTTTATTTCGATAGTTCTCACACAATTTGGTTCATTACTTGTATTATATGGTAGTGTTCACTTGCTCAGTAGAAACTGAAAAAAAGGAAGACCTAACGATTGGAATATTTTCGTACATGTACTAATCATCATCATCATCATCATTGCAGACATCATTTGTGTACTAATAAATACTAATTATAAAAATTAATACATTAATTTTCCAGATGCAACATGCTTATGTCCATTTTCGAGCTAATCGGTTGGAAGCAGTGTTGGATAGAGAGGTAAATGTGCGAAAGAGACAGCATGCGTTTTGTATATTCACCCACTAGTTACTGTAGTTAGAGCAAAGAAATAGTAGAATATTTGTAAATATTATAAATTATTTAATATTGTATATTATAACTTCTAGCAATTGATTAAAAATAATATTCTAAGTTTATTTTTAATCGATTGTTATTAACTATATTCTATTCTAAATCTATTTCTATTAGAACACTGTCGATACTCATTTATTCAGCGTTAATTATAGGTATTTTTTTAACATTTACATCGTCTAAAAAATTTCGATGTAAACAAACAATTTTCAATAATATCAGTTTACTTAATGTATTTATATTATAAGTTTTTATATAATTGTGCTATTCATATACAAAATACAAATAAATATATTGAATAGTTTTTCTCTCAATCTTTCCTTTCATTTGCAATGAAATGACAAAAAATTCGAAACTATGTTTCTGTTTATAAGTTTTAGTTATAAATAATGTTTAAGAATATATATAATGAGAATAATCTGTAAAGTTTCTTTTTTTAGAGTAGATCGTAAGCGAGTATGTTATGTTGATAGATTTCACCGACTTTTTCGCACATTCCTCTTCTCATATTTATATTAACATAATAATATGTAAATAATGTTTATATTATCTGTATCTTAAAATATATTTATTTATTAGTATAACATATATTTATATATATTAATTTCTACAGCCTTGTAGCTAAGGTAAGACATATTTACTTAAATTTTTATTATTTTAAATTCGAACGTAAATTTTAAATTGCTAAATTTGTGTTTAAATGTAAAGAGCTATTGCAGATTTGGCTGTATATTATTATGTATGCCTTCGTTTTATATGTTAATAAAAAAAAAAACAAACGTGAAAGTGACCTTTCCACATGAATTTAAGGTAAAATGGTATGGTTTCCAATTACATCACATAGGTATTATGAATCACCATTTGGAATCAGCTTCCAGCAATGGTATTTCCGAACCTCGGACTTATTTAATATTAATAGTACATATTATAGACATCAGTTGCTATTTCTATCTGGTAGGCAGTTTGGTTGCTCTTCCAGTTACATAAAAATCGAATAATACGAACCGATTTTTTTGAGCAACTTCTAAAGAATACTACCGTAATTAAGTGCGTAAAAGGAATCGTACCAACCGGTAATTGAACGACAACTGTACCAACATGCGAAATGCCATTGTGTTTCGTTTTTCACAATGTCATATCTACTTAAAATAGATAATTTCACCAATTACGCTCAGCTGTCGACTACGAAACAATTGTACAAGAATGTCACAATAAGATAAGCCTTATGCAATGCAGTGTCACATGTTAGAAAGGAAGTCACTTGATTCTACCTCATTCCAATGGTTGCCGGTTCGATTCTCACATAATTTTTATGTTACTATTATTACATACTTGCTGGGCCCGTGACTTCGTCCGCATTATAGTGACCTTAATCAAATGAAGGAACAATATTCAATAATCTAACGCATAGCTTAAAAGTTCTAGCTTTGAAAATAACAATACTTTCATACAAACTTTCATCTCCTCCATTTCAACCCCTTACGGGTTGTAAGGGGTTGAAATGGAGGAGATGAAAGGGAATAAAAAAAAAACTAGTTTGATGCATTAACATCAAATTTTAATAACAAACTATTTAGAATAGAATAGAAAATTATTTATTCAAATAAACTTACATTGAAGCACTTTTGAATAGTCATCACATTTTTTTTAATCTACCGCTCATTCGGAAGGCTGTCTCATCACAAGAAGAACGAGCAAGAAACTTGTGTGTTGCTCTTTTAAATAATTTTATTCTATTATTATTATTTATTAATGAAGTTAATATACAATTTCAGGTGTGGCGGTTCGCTCATATCCCGCCGGCACGTGGTCACGGCGGGACACTGCGTTGCACGTGCCCAGCCACGCCACGTGCGCGTTACGCTTGGCGACTACGTCATAAACTCAGCGGCTGAACCGCTGCCTGCTTACACGTTCGGAGTTAGATCAATTAAAGTACATCCGCTGTTTAAATTCACACCACAAGCGGATAGGTTTGATGTGGCGGTGTTAACGCTGGATCGGAATGTGCATTATATGCCACATATAGGTAAGATATATTCTCTTGTGTAATAATGTATACATATATAAAATTTGAGTGTCTGTTTGTAATACTGAAATAACCGTTTTTTACTACATACATATGAATATAAATACGGTAGGTACATCAAAATAATATTTTTTACAATTTTGTCTGTCTGTCTGTCGGTTTGTTCCGGCTAATCTCTGAAATGGCTGGACCTATTTTGAAGAGACTTTTTTGCAGGTAGCTAATGTAATAAGCAGTAACTTAGGTCACTTTTATTTTAGAAAAATAAAGTTAAATTCCACGCCGACGAAATCGCGGGGACAGCTAGTACTGATAAAAATATACTTACATTACATTTTACGGTCTCGGTGGTTCAATGGTTAGCACATCACTTTACTTTTGAAGATCGCGGGTTTGATTCCTCGCTTGGTATAAATATTTTTATTCATGAGTATGATTGTTTGTATTGGTCTAGGTGTTGTCTAAGTATATTATGTATTTAAAAAATGTATCTATGAATATACGTGAGACTAGATGGCGCTGTGTGTATTGTAGCTGCCCCGCCAGTGGAGAATCATAAGATAAGCATGAGGTCAGGTCAGTTAGACCATCGTGACAAATTCACCAGGAATTTGTTACCATCCATTTTCAGATGGAACCACGTGGAGGTTAATCTGACATGGTTTCTATTAATGCGGTCATGAGTCCATATTACTAACAATCTCCTTACGAGTATGGAGGGGAGGGGAGGAGGGGCCCTCCCCCCCCCTCCATACTCGTATATTAAAGTCATTATATACTAATGATGATTAACAATTCGTTTTCTAGCTCCAATCTGTTTGCCTGAACGAGGATCTGACTTCCTCGGCCAGTACGGCTGGGCTGCCGGATGGGGAGCCCTCAGCCCTGGGTCCAGGCTTCGGCCTCGGACGCTCCAAGCAGTCGATGTACCAGTGTTGGATAACCGAGTTTGCGAAAGGTGGCATCGAGCTAATGGTAAGTTAAATTCTGATCCATTTCTTCGGTTTTTTAAAGAATAGAATAGAATAGAAATTTATTTATTGAAATGAACCTATATTGAAGCTCTTTTGAAGTGACGGCCCCGGTGGTTTAGTGGTTTAATACACTGTCTTACTTCCGATGGTCGCGGGTTCGATTCCTCGCACAGCACAAACATTTGTATTTATGAGTAGGATTGTTTACGTCGGTCTGGGTGTTACGTATTATATACAAATACATAGATATTTTTTTATCCAGTACCCATAAGACAAGCTTTAGCTAGCTGAACTTGGGTCTAGATGGCGCTGTGTGAATTGTCCTGAGATGATTATTATTATTATTTGAATAGTTATCACTTGTTTTTTCAACTACTGCTCATTCTTAAAGCTGTCTTATCACAAGAAGAACGAGGATGAAACTAGCGTGTTATTAAAAAGATGATATTAGAATATATTATATATATATTAGATACAGATTAAATATACAAGACTGAGGCATATATTTATAAGAAGTCCTCGGTGGTTTAGCGGTTTAGCCCACCGCTTTACTTCCAATAGACGCGGGTTCTATTCCTCGCACAGTGCAAACATTTGTACTCATGAGTATGATTGTATCGGTCTGGATGTTTTCTGTGTATATTATGTATGTATTTACAAATAAAAATATCTAAGTATTTATATCAGATGTTTAGTACCCATAACAAGCTCTGCTTACCGTGGTACTAGAAGGCGCTGTGTTAATTGTCCAGGGTTATTTATTATTATTATTGTTACTAGGTTCATGTTCATAACTTTTGCTGGTTTATTTCGCTTGGTTATTATTATTATTAAATATCTCATAATATTTTTAAAGATTATAAACAGTTATTTATATTTGTTTACAGGTATAAACGTAGTTATATATCCAGAAATGCTTTGCGCCGGATACCGCGGTGGAGGGAAGGACAGCTGCCAAGGCGATAGCGGAGGACCCCTCATGCTAGAAAGAGCCGGCAGATGGTACCTCATCGGAGTAGTCTCCGCTGGGTACTCCTGCGCTAGTAGAGGTCAACCTGGCATTTACCATAGAGTCGCCCATACTGTAGATTGGATCTCACATGCAACCACACTCTCATAGCAGTCCACCGCTCTCACAGAAGTACATCAAAATAATAACAGCCCGTTTTAATTGTAGTAGTCCATAAATAAATAAAGAGTCACTACATTAGTAGTCTGTCACTAAATTAAAAGTCAGTCACTAATCAGTAGTTTGTCTCAGCATTAGTAGTCCATAACTACCATAAATAAGAAATCCATCCCTACATTAGTAGCCCATCACTACATTAATAGTCTCATCACTACATTCATTAGCAGTCCTTTACTTAATAAATTGTCCATAACTAAATTATGTACATCAAAATAAATAGAAGTCTATCTGTTCATTTGTAACTCGTCATTACGCAAGTAGTCTCATCACTACATTAATAGTCCATTGCATAATCAGTTGTACATTCCGAAATAAGTAATCCATTGCCTAATAAATAGCCCATCCCTAAATGAGTAGTCCATCCTAAATAAGTCGTCCATTGCCTAATAAATAGCCAATCCCTAAATGAGTAGTCCATCCTAAATCTGTAGAACATGGCCTAATAAATAGTCCATCCCTAAATGAGTTGTCCATCCTAAATATGTAGACCATGGCCTAATAAATAGCCCATCCCTAAATGAGTAGTCCATCCTAAATATGTAGACCATGGCCTAATAAATAGTCCATCCATAAATGAGTAGTCCATCCTAAATATGTAGACCATTGCCTAATAAATAGCCCATCCCTACATAAGTAGTCCATTCTAAATAAGTAGTCCATGGCCTAATAAATAGCCCATCCCTAAATGAGTAGTCCATCCTAAATATGTAGACCATGGCCTAATAAATAGCCCATCCCTAAATGAGTAGTCCATCCTAAATATGTAGACCATGGCCTAATAAATAGCCCATCCCTAAATGAGTAGTCCATCCTAAATATGTAGTCCATTGCCTAATAAATAGCCCATCCCTAAATGAGTAGTCCACCCTAAATAAATCGTCCATTGTCTAATAAATAGCTCATCCCTAAATGAATAGCTCATCCTAAAAACTAGTCCATTGCCTAATAAATAGCACATCCCTAAATACGAAGTACATCCTAAATGAGGAGTCCATTGCCTAATCAGTTGTTCGTCCCTAAATAAGTTGTTCATCCCTAAGTAAGTAGCCCGTCACTATATTAGTAGTCCTTCGCTACACAAAGCGGTCTGTCTTTGTAACGGACTTTGTAAGTACATTCCAAACGACGAGTTTTCAATGAAAACTCTCTTGGAGTCGGTGATTTGAACTGACGATTCATTTATAGGTATGAGTCTTTGTTGAATGCATTGCGTTCTCGATTCTAATTGCTTTGAGTTTTGAATTATATGCATAAAGGAATAAGGATCAAATTTCAATGCGATTAGAGCCGAAAATGCAGCCTATTACGAAAATATTTTTTTCTGCTGATTTGGCAGTTTGAAATTAATTCAATTGTGACATTAATTATACACAAAATTCGAATTTCAAAATATAACAAAAAAAAAATATGATTTTTGTAGCGGTTTCATATGAATGACGTTATTTTCGATCAAATTATAGTTTAATATTTATTTAAATAATTAAAATTTATATAACAAATTACTATTTTTTTCGTGAATATAATTTTTTCAGCTATTGATTACAAATGGGGTCTAATATTGTATTGTTATTATTAACAATCCTTACTACGGACTAAAATTGGTAGTTTTGCTATTTTATATGACCCATTTGAAAGTTGCAGATACGAGCAATAGTGAACTGTAATACTTAGTAATTTGGTTCACAATTGTAAATGTTAAATTGACCGTATGTCCTACTACAAAACTGTAGAATTTAATCTGTAACTAATTGAGAATTGTTAATAATATTGTTACATAGTTAAGACCATAGACAATTGTTGCATTCCCAAAGCAGAAAAGAGAAAATATTTTTTTTTAAACTGATTGCTCTTAAAAATTAAATAGTTTAAAATGTTATTAGAACTACTGTTTTGAATTATAAATAGAAGAAATGTGATAATGATTTCAATAACACATCGGAATTTGAAATCAAAATGCTGAGAGAAAACTTGTATAATTCGTAAGTGCCTATAGCATAAAGAACTGTAAATATATTTTATATAATATAATTGTACAGTTAGCTCATTTATATAAATCCCTAATTTACCAATTACAATGTAAATAAATTAAGTATAATTTAAGATGGCTTTAAGTAAATTATTTTCCATGCTTTTAATTTATTTTCTAAAGTTATTTTTTTAATTACCTTTACATTTTTTTCGCTGTTATTTTCCTGTAGAGAAACAAAATGTAATTATTTAACGAGTGAATAAGTTAATAAATTGTATTTATTGTTAATTTAAATTTTGTTTTTTTTAAATACTCTAAGTTTAAGTTTTTTTATTTTATTAGTTTAATAGTCAAAGTTTTTTATGTGGTCCGCTATACCACCAAGACTGTAATTTATTACTAAGGAGTCAGTGTGGAGTTGACGCCCCTGTGGTCTATCGGTCTGGCGGTCTCTCGTACGGTACAAACAATTGTAATCATGAGTATCATGTTTAATGTTTGTATGGATCTGCGTGATTTTTATACTATGTACGTAAGTACAAAAAAGTATCTATCTACTTATATCATCTATATAAATGTTATCTGTGACTTCGTTTGCTTTAATTTAGAAAAAATATAGCTTACATCTGCCCTTTCATTTTCGAACTATTATAATTATGCTGCTGGCCCTTATAGCTTCACCGAGCTATAGGGGGCGAGTACAGATAGCACTCCAAACCCGCGGAAGAACTTATGAAGCGGCTGAAGGCCAACTCCCGCCTGACGGATACGACTTTAGTTTTAGGGCACCGCTAGATGTTCGAAACACGGCTCAGGCCGTCGTAATTTCGATCCCCGTTTGAATTGGATGGGGGATTGATCGGATGGGACCTATATATGTATCTCATCATGCAATATATCTTCACATTAAATTAACAGATAAACAAACGTACTTTTACATTTATAATATTATGGATTGATTACTTAATAACAATTTTAAGTACATTTTTTTTATATTATTCGAAGCATTTATTACACTGATTCACGTCTTACCAGCCAATGGGTATACGGTATATACGAACTAATTTTTCCAATAACTTCTGCAGAGGGCGGTAGTAACGTAATAGAGCCTTCGACGATATGGTAGTGTCACCCGTCGTTGCTTGCAAGATATCGCGCCAATGTTGTGAGTGACCTTTTGACATGAGCTCCCTAAAAGAAAAGGAAAATGGGAAAAAATCTATATTCAAATAAACTTAACACAAGCACTTTTGAATAGTCATATTTTTTTATGTAAGTAAATGTATCTTTATTATAAGAGGGTATCGGTGGTTGACAGGTTTACTAGCAGTTTAGAATATCGCCTCACTTTTAATGATCGCAGTATCGATTCATGGCATGATGCAAACAGGGCCACCCTTTTTCTTTTACAAGGGGAAATCCGTCATGGAGATCCGCACGTCCCGGGGTTTTTTTTTAAGCATGATAATGGAATGGTGCACCCGCTTGCGCTAACGGTTTACGCTGGCAGGGCACCAGTGAAGCATGATAAGATGAGCATGAGGTCAGGTCAGTTAGCCCATCGTGACAAATTAATGAGGAATTTATCACGATGGTTTCCAGGGGGAACCGCTTGGAGGTCAACCTGACATGGTACATTGCTAGCAATGGGGTCAACAGTCCACATTACTAACAATCCCCTTTCCCCCTCACGTCCCGGGGTAGGCCTGCCGATACTGCCGGACTCCGGACTGCCGGAAATCGGCTAAAACCCCTTGGTGTCCTCCGAGCGCTTTGGTGCCGGGGTTACGGGATCAAGGTGACATTCAACCGTGAACCCCGGCAGAAACAGCGCCACCTAGCCCAAGTTAAGTAGAGCTAGTGGTATGGGTACTAGACAACTAATAGACATAGTGATTCCTAGCTAAGTGCAAATATAAATTTTATTGTAAGGATATAAAATAATAATAAAACATTGACAGCCTCGGTGGTGTAGTGGTGTAGTCGTGTAGCACACCGCCTTACTTCCGGTGGTCGTGCGTTCGATTCCTCGCCCGGCACAAACATTTGTATTCATGAGTATGTTTGTTTGTATCGGTCTAGGTGTTTTCTATGTATGTATTTACGAAAAAAATATCTATGTATTTGTGTCAGTATTCTAGTGATCATAATATAAACTTTAGCTAGCTTCACTTAGGTTTAGACGGCGCTGTGTGAATTGACCTGAGATTATAAAAAAAATATATATAAAAAAATAAAACACTTCGAGGCACAGTTCTGGGAACTGTATAATATATTTTTTTTTTATCTCAGGACAATTCACACAGCGCCATCTAGTCCCAAGCTAAGCAGAGCTTGTGTTATGTGTACTAGACAACTGATATAAATACATGGATACATTTTTTGTAAATAAATACATATTATACATAGACATATACATATTTATATATCTTAAAAGTACTTACTTCAGCAATTTTCCTGCTGCCTTGGAACCATAGATGTCGCAGCGGTTCATAGGAATGGTATCAGGAACGTCTTCCGTTACCGATCTTCGGCCATACACAGCAGCCTTGCAAAGAGCTTCAAATAGTTGGTGCTGGATGAAACTACTCAGGAAGTATCTAAAAATATATTTTTATCTCATGAAATTTCAGGAATTTAAAGGGAAAAACTATACATATAATTTATTTGCAGAATACAGTGCTTATACTTATGTACAACATTAAATATAATGTACAGTGTATTCAGCTTGTTTACAGGCGTGCAAATTTTTATATATCACTAGCTTTTGCCCGCGGCTTCGCTCGCGTTAATTTATCCCCTTAGGGGTGGAATTTATCAAAATCCTTTCTATGGGGATGTATCTTTATACCTGCGAAATCTCAGCCCGATTGGTTTAAAATTGACAAAGTTTCATACAAACTTTCAACCACTGTTTCATCCCCTTGGGGGCAGAATTAATCAAAATCCTTTCTTAGCGAATGCTTACGTCATAACATCTACCTGTATGCCAAATTTCAGCCCGATCCGTCTAGTGGTTTGGGCTGTGCGATTGATCACTATGTCAGTCAGTGTAGTCACCTTTGAGTTATATATTTAGATAGATTATATTTATGTCATTCTAATCAATAATTAAATTAAAATAAATATGTCATTGGAATTATTGGCACATTTAGGTAATTGTCATAGGTTATGTATTGAATTACTAAATTGAATACATTCTTTTACACTTTAAAAACAATGTGCCGATAGCTAATCTATAGATTTTTTCGATGATTATACCATTAAAACACCATCTTGGTTTAATTTATCGGTTAATTATATTTGATACTAGCTGTACCCGCGACTTCGTCCGCGTGGAATTTTACTTTATTTTTCTAAAATAAAAGGACCCTAAGTTTGCTCCTTATTACATCAGCTACCTGCTAAAAAAAAGTCCCGTCAAAATCGGTCCAGACATTTCAGAGATTAGACGGCACAAACAGACAGACAGATAATAATTGTAAAAAATGTTATTTTGGTGTATGTACTGTATTTATATTCATATGTACGTTGTAAAAAAAAGTTATTTTAATATTACAAACAGACACTCCAATTTTATTTATATTGCTGATTGTATTCAACTTATTATTCAAATCTATACAAGATTTGAATAATAAGTTGAATACAATCAGCGGTGTAAGATAAAATACAAAAAATAATAATAATAAAACAAATGCCGAACACTCCAGAAAGCACAAATCTATTTGTAATATATGAAATAAATAATACACTTTTACTTTTATTGGAGTTTCCAACATATATACTGTATTTTATTTTACACCGCTAATTGTATTCAACTCATTATTTATATATACAATATAATTAAGAGTTACATTAAACTCAGGTGGTATTTTAATAGTATTATCATAGCCTATAGACATACAGAGGACTACAGACTTAAAAATTTAATTATTTACGCCCGTAGTATACTTAATCATGCGTAACTATTTCTAGCCAAGATGTCATGTGTTGGTACCATATAATTTATATCTCCTCACCCTTTAATAAAGTGAATGACTGAAATTTATGAAGTTTATTTTGGTAAAATTTATTGAATTATCAGTTTTGGATTGTACTATCATACTAAAGTTATGTGTCCACATTTGATAGGTCTTCATGGGATAATAAATGAGTTTCGCTCAATATAAGCGTTATACTGGTTAATATTACAACTCATTACTGTTACCTGAATATGTATCTTGAACGGAACTAATGCTTAATCAATATCACAAGTTTGATTATTTTTGTTCCTCTAATTAATTATAAATTCACAATCTTCAATATACCTTATAAACGGTGTATTATCAGGAACATGAAATTTTGCGCCAACATCGAAATAGTATTCGCTCCTAACTTCCGGTGGCGCTATTCCCATCAATTCTTCAGACATCTTCCAAAATTCTTTGTTCAGATTATTAATATTCATTGATCCATCAAAATATTTCCATCTGTACTCGTCTATGAGAAGCGAAAATGGTATCTGTGGTATTTTATTTAAAGCTTGCTTAAACAGAAGAATATTATCCGTCGATTTTAATTCATGAAGTAAATCATTAACTTCGTTAATATCTTCTTCTTTGAATTCACTCTCATCTACGCTGTATTCTTTATCTTTATCATGTTTACTATTAAATTCATTTGTGTACAATATAGAATCATTAATGAGACCGAGTCTATGTAAATGTTGTGGAGTTAATACACCTTGCATTATAGTATCACCTATGGTTTCATGAAGCGCTGTATTTGCTTGCTGCAAAAATGTACATCGTATTATAATCAGACCAGATTTATAAGCAAAGACGATGACAGATCGGAAATAGAAATTTAAAAACTGAGACTTAGTGAAGACTCTGTACAGGAATTTATAGAACTTGTTAATGTCGTTGCCTTTCGCGAATAGCTATGACTTGAATTTAGCTTGTCCTATGCTATGAAAAAAGACTTTCAAATGAAGTAAGACATAATATACCATAATAAGACATAATATATCTTGACTTATTTCCAAAAAACAGCAATATTCATAATATTAATACTAGATTTAAAGACAAACTTGCTGACCCCAAGTATCGTTTAGAAAAAGTCAGTAGGTCTTTTATGGGAATAGGTATAAAAATTTACAATAAGATACCAAAGGATATGTTGGAATTACCCTTAAATAAATTCAAAACATCTGTTAAATCATATTTACTGAGTAAGGCCTATTACTCATTAAACGATTACTTGAATGACGAGTGTGCATGGCAATAGTTGTACTGAATTTTCATTTAATGTTAGACATAGACACCTATATAAATATACATTGTAAATAAACTGGCTTTAAAAAAAGTAATTCAATTGAGTTTCTTGCTCAATTGGATCTATATACCGAACTGGACGGTAGGGAAAAAATAAAATTATAATGTAAAAATTTGACATTCATATGCGGCTAAAATGTCCTACATGAATAAATGATTTTTTAATTTGAATTTGAATTCGAATAAGTTACTTAAAAAAATAGTACAGACTGTACGGCAGGTATTACCGAAGCTTGATTGATTCGCTTACAGACGAGTTGCTTCAGTATTTTTTAATCTATTCTCTTAAATGCAAGGGGGGAGAGAACAAGAAGGTCGAGTAGGTGTACTAGTTATGAGAGCGTTATAGTTTATAAAACTTTACTCTGAATAATCCCGGTTGTTCCTCGTATGCCATATAATATTGAATATGTCCAAGTTCATGATGCAGCACATAGAAATCTTCCATACTTGTTCCGGAACAGTACAAAAGTCTGAAATTGATATAATAAACTGCAATTTATAAAATGAGAGAAATAAAGCAAAAAAATAAATCTTTAAAATAAACACCTCAAGGGCGAATATTAGTTCCTTTGTCTTTCTACTTAATTTTAAATACGCCATCTACTATTGATAACTAATTTATTAATATAGTAGATAATAATAACCCAGTAGTAGTACACACTGCGTTAACTAGTCCCAAGCTGAGCTGAGTTTGTGTTATGGGTCTAGGTCTAGTAGAACAAAAGCATTGATGGAAATACTTAATCACATTTCTTTTTTAAATACATATTATATATAAACAACACCCAGATCATAGTACACTTTACATATTATAAAATGAAGTCGCTTCCGCTGTCTGTCATCTTAAATCTTTTAAACTACGAAATGGATTTTATAGTAGTTTTATCAACAGGTAGAGTGATTCAAGATGATAGTTTATACATATAATACATGCATGTTTTACTATAAAACAAGCTGAGAATCAAAGATTTGTAATGCATCTATTCGGTGCGTTTGCGGGTCGTTAATATATTATACATTGGAAACGCTCATTGTGTCCTTTAGACTATATCTTTTTACCTGAAGTCGCCATCTTTAAACATGTCTGCCGCGGTGCCATGACAACGCGTTGCATTATTTTCCCGCCTGAATATGGATTCGCGCCAAAATGTATCAGTCATTGGCGGTAAACCTAGTGATTGGTAGAAATCTTCCGCTCGCTTTACCTGCAATAGAAGTAATGTCATTATTACATGCCTACGTACAAAAAATGTCATAAAGAAAGTATACATAGACGTGGATGGATGGAAACGGAGAGAACGACCAAAAGAAGGATGGATGGATTGTGTGAAAGATGATATGTATAAATGATGTGTAGGCTCAGATATGACGGCTGTTAGGAAGAAGTGTAAGAAGAGGACATATACCGCCGACCCCAAATAATGAGAAAAAGGCAAGGCAATGATGATGATGAAAAATTAACTTGTGTATATGTATCATTCGTTCGGATAGCTGTTAATGTAGATAAGTTTAAAATTAGCCCTATTGTTAAATGTCAGATTGATAATACTAAATTATATCAGTATAATTTCGCTTAGTAAAAGTAATAAAAAATATCTTAATCTTAAAAATATCTATAATCTTAAAAATATAAAAATATCTTAATCTGAAAAACAATTAGTTTTTTCCGGAATCCAGAAGTTATATAATATAAATCAAGAATAAACACATTATAACAGAAAATATGTCAGTAGTAAATGTGCGTTGGAAAGACTTCAAGGATTTGAAATTTGGCCAAGTTTTGCGAGTTTATTTTGGAGGCTATTTTCGACTCTAACAATTCTAAGTATGAATCTACGAATTTACTTCTAAAAAAAATATATGTGGGTTGCGCTATGAATTTTTTTACCATATGAATTGATGTCCAGTTAAGTTTCTTGATATTTTCATCCAAGTTTAAAGTCTGCGGTATAATTATATCTAGCAAATTCTCCCAATTTTGTGCCCACAAATTACCTGAAATAAAATAATGACAGTTGGAGGTAGTTTTGTTTTTATTAATCTAAATTTTATTAATTTCAATAAAACTATTTCAATTGCTTAGAAAATTGTTGATTGATTGATTTTGAATATCAGATTGAGGAATGAACTATCTGCCGAGGTTTTCTTTAGAGACTACTGTATGGGGTTTTTCAAGAACGGCATATTAAGGTTTTTAAGGGTCTGTAACGAGCACGAGACACCTTTATTTTTTTAGGCGTCCATAGGCTACGGTAATTCTTTACCATCAGATTAGACGTATGCTTGTTTGCTACCACCGTAGTATAAACAAATGTAGTGTGATTTCCAGCATCAAGAGCGTTGTTCTTAAATTATGAATAAATGGGATATCAGATGAAAGTGTATATGTGGACAAAGTATGATCAATAAAAAAAGCATTATTACCAAGTAAATGTGCTGGTAGATATCCAAATTCCGGTACTAAATCACCATACTGCTTTCTTAAATAGAATCTAGCTACACCATGTAGCAGTTCGTATAATGGACGTATTTGATCATATAGATTACGAGAGAGTAACTTCAAATTAGGTACTTCAAGTTCATCTCGCCACGCTGCTCCTATATCGGAATAACCTGAAAGACATAAAAAGGTGAGCGAAGTGGACGACCGAAGACAGAAAATATGGTCTGTGTTCAAGATGACATGCGTAGAAGAAGCGTAAGTTTGATCTAATATCGATTATTGGTCATAGAAGACAGAAGTAGACTCTGTGCCAAATCTGTGTGAATACCACTGTCTCACTTATTTCTGCTGCCTATTGGTGTTTAGATTTAATGAGATAGAGCAGGTAATTAATTATAATATATTATGTAATGATGTCTCAGTAACGGCAACGCATAAGAGCACCAAGGGCATTTGTCCGTGTCTAGTGTTAAGAGACCACATAGCTTTGATTATTAATAATAAAATAATAGTGTGAATATTGGTGTTAGCTATATAGTGGTGTTTATGTCTTTAGGCGAAGACTACTGTATCCATTGTGCAAACAGAGTTATTGAAATTACAATTTGATATAAATTTTTGGACAGGTCGTAATGAGCGTGATAGCATGACATACGAAATTATATAGATAAAACCTAAAAATATACTTACCACTTCTTCTTGCAGCCATATTTTCTAAAACCACTAATTCTTTATATGGTTCCTTCATAAGTGGTCCCACTATTTCTCTCCATGTCAACCAAGTCCATCGTAGTACATCTTCTTTCTTCGAAATAGCCATCAATTTATCAAAATCTGCATCATTGTTTAGACAAATAGCATTTTTATAGTCATCATGATGATTGGCTGCAACCTTTGATGCTATAGATACTCTATCAATGTCCTGAGATTGTACAACTTCGTCAACTGCAGTTAAGTAGTTGGTGATGGCTGTTTCAATATCTGATACGTTATTTCCGGTTACGTTTTCTTCATTGGGAATGCATATATTTATTTCTGAGTACATAGACTGCAACTTTTCATATAACGTACTGGCGAGTCTACAAAAATAAATTTTGATAATGACTCGTAATATATTTAAATAATACATTAAAATGTTTTTTTGTTTTTGAAACGAAAACGAGTAATTGAAGTATTTTACATTATAAATCAGAATTAAGAAAAAATATTTCCAGATGTATAAAGGAATACCTTTCAAAATTATTCTTTAATTATGAAATTAAATAAATATATATTCATATCTCTTACGATAATATCGAAAACTATTCTAAACATCAAACAAACTGTATTAGTAGTTCCTTCAAAACAGTATAGATACTTGTAAGAGAAGGGAACTGGTACCTAAAATACAAATTTCTACTTAGTTTAGATACCAGGGAACAATTTAAAATGTAAATATTGGATGCAAAATAAAAATTATTAGACAAACTGACGGTAGATGGAAAAAAAGCAATTAGCAATTCTATTTAGTTCGGGAATTATAAAAAAATAGAATATTACCTTGTTTCTCTGTAGGTGTATTTAGGTTCTCTACACAAGAGATACGTCTGTCGCCTATGGGTGTGGCTTAACAACTGACGCTTTTCCAATGTTGCCAACTGACTGCAAACTTTTTGTTGCCATATTATCCGTTGTTTTTGGTATTTTGCTGATTTAGTTGGTAACTCAGGATTTCCTGGTTCGAGTGATGATGCCCAAGCAATTTCAGCGGCTATTGCATTGAATTTAACGACGTTTTTGTTGATTTTATCAAACAGTTCATTCATGTGTGCATTATCAAGGCATAAATAAGTTTGAGGTGTTACCAGTAATATAAAACCCAGTATAATAGTTTTCATTTTGAAGATTATACAAATGTCATCCTTTAAAACTTATTTGTTGTATCGAATAGGAACTTCTTTCACTTTTACTTTTTGCCCGCGGTTTTGCAAAAGTGATATATTTTTTTTATTATAATGGAATGATGCCCCCGCTTACGCTAACGGTTTACGCTGGCTTGCCATTTGCCAAGAAGGGTTAACTGACCTGCAGTTCAGTTAGCCCTTCTTGGCAAATGCCAATTTACAACGATGGTTTCCAGGGTGGCCGCATGTAGGTCTACCTGACATGGTACATTATTAGATAAAGGTTATTAGTCCATAATACTAACAATTCCCTTTATGCCGGTAAGTGATAACTGTCGCATGTACATGGACATCACGTTATCATGTGACACCGTGATACCATTCATGCGTTGGCATTCAAAAGGATAAGATGTCATGTCTCTATGACTAGTTCCTACAGTCGCAAAATATCTTAAGTAACCTACTTGGTGACGAAAATATGTCCACTGAATATCTACATCAGTATAACCATACTGATGGAGATATTCAGTGGATATTCAGCAGTCAATATAATTTAATCTGGTTTTTATCACATTTGCACGTTAGATATAACAGTTATATGACAAGAACATCAATTTTTAATGTGATGGATTATACTCTTTATTTTAAAATCAATGTGCCTAATATATACAGAGGCACTGAGACGACTTTTTTATAAAAAAAATATTTTTATCTTCAGAGAAAATCTCGATTATAATATTAATAGTTGTTGCTGGCAGCCTGTCATTCTTTTTTTAAAGTTTGTATTTTTGTTATCAGTTTTTTTATATGTCACTTTTGCCTAGTTCTTGTTACCTCTTCGCTTTGGGAAATACACATATTCATTACAATTCTTTGATTTTTAATAAATGAGTCTTTGTGTTCCCGCTCCAGTCACAATAGTATTATTATTACTGGATTCACAGATAATTTTCCCCTGCTCACCTTTTCCCCTCTCACTCTTTTCCCCCGTGCGTTATCTTGTCAGCGGTCGAGAACTGATTTCTGATAACAACCACTTAACTGTCTGTCCATTATCAGGGACGTGACATTTCACTTAATTTAGCTGATTATAATAATGATTAATTTATTCATTAAATTATGTACTAGCTATACGGAGGCCTCGATGGTCTAGCGGTTTAGTGCGCCGCTTTTCTTCCGACGGTTACGAGACCTATTCCTCGTACGGCACAAACATTTGTATTCATGAGTATGATTGTTTGTATCGGTCTGGCTGTTTTCTACGTATAGTATGTATTTATAAAAAAATGTATTTACGTATTTGTATCAATTATTTAGTATGGATAAAACATGCTCTGCTTAGTTTGGGACTAGATGGCGCTGTGTGAATTGTCCAAGGATATTATTATTATAATATTCTCTTAAACTCAAACTATGAACAATATTCGGTTGCTTAGCTTAAAGCAATTTTACAAGTATTTATTTATTTAAATTGAAGGAGTGGGAAGATGTACCTAGTGGCTAGGGACATGATAGAGTAGGGAGGTATTAGAGGGCGATGTTGGAGAGAGGAGAAACTGCTGGACAAAAATAAGGTAAGCTGACCCCACCACGATGTGGAATATATATCTAGAAAGAGAGAGAGATTATTTTTTTTAACTTGCAATGTTTGTATAGAATAAATCTTGCAAAGGAATTTTAACCTAATTTAGAAATAAAATTAATATATAAATTTTCATCATTGCCTTGCCTTTATCCCATTATTTGGGGTCGGCGCAGTATGTTATTCTCTTCCACTGCTCTCTATCAGTCGTCATATCTAAACATACTCTTCTTTTATTCATATCATCTTTCACACAATCCATCCATCTTTTCTTAGGGCGTCCCCTCCCTTTACATCCATCCACATTCACATTATACATTTTCCATAAGACATGGTCCTCATTCCTCCGCATAACATGCCCATACCAGCTCAATCTGTTACCTCGCAACTTTTCTATAACCGGCGCAACTTTCAAACTTCCTCGTATATACTCATTCCTTATTCTGTCATTCCTGGTAACCCCACACATTAACATTCGCATTTCTGCCACATGCACACGCCTTTCGTCCATCCCCTTTACGGCCCAACATTCAGATCCATACAATATATAAATTTTATTAATATTAAATATTAATTAATTAATTAATTAATAATTAATATAATTTAATAAAAAATACTTTTACCGAGATTTACATATAAAATAGGGTATAAAATATTAATTGCAAAAGCATATTATATTTATTATAAAATTTAATAATTTTTATTTATATTTAAATATATTTTATGAATCCGTATTAAGACTGTTTGATTATTTTGAATCGATTACAAGTGAAAAGCAATAAAAAAAATAAAAAAAAATAATTTTGTTTTGAATTTTAAAATATCATGTCTCATTTACATTTTACTTATTTTTTGAGATAAAGAGTTGCCTTCTTAATTTAAAATACTTTTACAAAAATTTCGAATTTATAAAATAGAAATTGTTTAAATATATTTTTTTTAAATATTACACTTCACAGATAACCACAGATAATAATAAATGTCAGATGTTACAATTATGTTTTACGTACGTCACAGGTGGGGGATCGTGTTACGACTGAATCACAGCTTCGGAGGCGCTAGGAAAGTTTTATTTGTGTCAAGACATTAGGCCGGTTATACACGATACGCATTTATTATTAATGTATTATATCGAGGTAAGATTTTTTTATTAATTTTAATCCTAATAATATTATATCCTATATGTTTGTTACGCTTTCATGCAAAAACTACTAAACTGAACATACGAACTTTTTAATTAAAAATTTAAATATTTTTTATTTAATGGATTCAATGCGAGCGAAGCCGCGGAAAGCTAGTAATATTATAAATGCGAAAGTTTGTAAGTATGGATGTGTGTTACTACGGTTAAACGGATTTTGATGACAATAATAATATAGATTATGCATTAGAATAACACATAGGCTACATTTCATATTGAAATTTATCGCGGGTGAAACGGGCACAACTAGTTTTATATAATTGTAAGATTTTTTATGTTTATTTGATGATTAATAATAATAGGAGATGAGATGAAACCGGCGTGGCGTAGTAGTTTAATACCCGGAATTACAACCCGAAGGCCGTGAGTTCAAATTTAGTCGTTAGTAGTTTTTTTTTATGTATTCACTACTACAATCAATATGCAGTGAGGAACTGGTTTCTGAAATAGGTATAACATGTAACACAAATCACCAGGTCCCCAGCTGAATGTGATATAAGTTAAAAATATGGTAGAAATTACACGATAGTGTGTGTGTGTGTGTGTGTGTGGGTGTGTGAGAGAGAGAGAGATATGAAGAGATATGAGACCCAAAATATACAACGAAAAAAGTTTCAAGCTTCTAGTTTTAAAAAGTGGCCTATATCCTTTCTCAGGGTCTATTTGTGTACCAAACTTCAAACTTAAGATTAAATTTGTTTAGTAGTTTTGACGTGAAAGCGAGATAGACAGACAGACAGAGTTACGTTAGCATTTATGTTATATATGAGTACCTCCGGATTATGTCAACCTATATTGTGACATTATGGAATGCAAACATTACATAGTATAAAACAAAGTCTCTGTCGCTGTCTGTCCGTCCCTATGTATGCTTAAATCTTTAAAATTACGCAACGGATTTTGAAGCGGTTTTTTTTAATAGATAGAGTGATTCAAGAGGAAGGTTTATATGTATAATACATGCACACCCGTGCAAAGCCGGGATGGGTAGCTAGTGATTAATAAATAACTAAATATAAAGTAAGGAGAATTTAAAAAATTGTATCATTCGTTTGTAAATGACCTTAAACGGACGTAATTCACCAAGCTCCCCAGGGGCTCAGACAATAGCAGTCCATCTTAATTCGAAACTCACGCAAACAAATTCACCTCTATTTCAATTATTTATTTTGCAACGAATGAAAATTAAGTGTTTTTCTATGGAATATACAAGAGGGATTTTTCTTAATTGTATGATTACGTGAGATTTTTCTTATAAATATTTTTGAGTACTGTAAAACCCACACCAATATAAAATATGATATTTATATTAATTTATTAATACTACTGTAAAATATTATGTTATTTTCAAATAAGCACGCGTTCTATTCTAATAACTACACTCTATTCTAAGCAAGCACTTTTGAATTGTCATATTTTTTTTATTCTACCACTCATTCGGAACGCACACTCATCACAAGAAGAATGAGCAAGAAACTTGTGTGTTGCTCTTTTAAATAAATAATTATACAATAACAAGTAAGAGGCATGCGATAATCAATATAGAAAACGCTACGCACTCATTCTTACAAATGAACAAGTATGTATGTTAATGATATTGAATCTTGCATCTCTCTGTTTCTCTGTATTTTGCCTCTTTATTAAAACAATAAAAACATGGACAATTTACACAGTGTCATCTATCCCCAAGATAAGCAGAGCTTGTATTATGGGTAGACATCAAATAGGTATAATTGGTTACAGTTGTTTATATCTATTTCAATTATTTATTTTGCAACGAATGAAAATCACATGTTTTTCTATGGAAAAGAGAGAGACTAGAGAAATTCTTCTTTGTATAAATAAGTGAGATTTTTCTTATAAATATTTTTAAGAGCTGTAAATCCCACGCTAATTGGAGATTTGACATTTCAATTAATTTTAATAATACCATTGTATAATGGTATTTGCAAATATATTGTATGTTAATATATCGAGAAACGTGCATGGCTTTAGTTGTTCATGTACGGGATTTTCGCCTATGTAAGTACAGAATGTAAAAAATAGAAATTTTGTTGACTTTTCTTGCCTGCTCTTCTATATTGAATCAGTATACTGAAGGTAGGAAAAAAATATGAATACAAATACTTGTCTTTCATAAGCGGCTAAAATGTCCTACATGAATAAATGATATTTGATTTGGATGTTGCCTCTCATTTTCTCATTATTGTGCCTCTTTATTATCATTGTTTCTTCACTATATTGATAATAAATCTGGACAGTTTACACACCTCACCTCATAGTCCCAAGCTAAGCAAACCTAGTGTTATGGGTACTAGACAGCTGATAGTTAACTCAGATATGTTTTGTTTGTAAATACATACATAATATACATATAAAACACTTATATCGACTCAAACAATCAAATTCAAATTCAAAAATCATTTATTCATGTAGGACATTTTAGCCGCTTATGAACGTCAAATTTTTTACATTATAATTTTTTCCCTACCGTCCAGTTCAGTATATAGATCCAATTGAGAAGAACTGGCAACAAACTCAATTGGATTACTTTTTTTTAAAGTCATACTCATGACTACAAATGTTTGCACTGTGCGAGGAATCGAACCCGCTATAACCCTAACCTAGGCTGTGAATTAACGACAACAACTCTGCGAGCGGAATCCAAAAATAAAGTAGTAATATGTAAATTCCAGCCATAGCTACATCAGAAATGTCATGAATTTAATATAGTGCGCTATGAAAAATACTGTTGTGTAGTGATTTATTGCCCGGTTATCACAGAAGTGTAACAGGTTCAGGTACTGCAATAGAGTAAGGCATACTATTATCACGATAGCGGAGTGAATGTGGGGATTATTAATAATGAGAATTAGTGAAAATAAAATAAATTAAGTTTGCAATTGACATGGGAAGTGTTTAATAATATTAGTGATCTCTCAATGGTTTCGACCATTAAAAATTAAGTAAAATTATATGTGTGGATATGTGTGTATGTTTGTGTGTGTGTGAGTGTGCGTGTGAGTCTGTGATGTGTGTGTGTGTGTAAGTGCGCCCATGAGTCTGATTGTTGTGTGGGTGTGTGAGTATGAGAGTGTTGATTTATGATCTGTCTCTTTTCTTTAACCCTTTGCAGTACATTCTTCATTTCTTATTTTATCTTTCCTGATAATTCTTACAATCCTTCTCCAATATCACCTTTCTAAAGCTATCAGTTTGTCCTTTCCTTTTGAGCCAATGTCCAAAAGGCATACAAGGCTACACTCCAGATAAGTCTTTGTAAGTCTTGATAAGTCGTTTTCGAGAGGATTTTGATATGATAGCTCTCAAAATAAATAAATTAATACAAATATTTGTTTTGTACGGGAATCGAACCTAGACCCATTAGAAAGTTATGTACAGCTAACCGCTGAAACAACTAGAATCTACATATCTGATGACATATCACTGTGTGATTATCAATATTATCATTTAACAGGTCACGCATACTAAATATGATATGTAGCGTATAACATGGACCCTAGATAGGTAATATTGAATATCCGATTTAAAAAAGAAGCAATTTCCTTGGTAATATGACGGCCTCAGTGGTTTAGCGGTTTAGCACACCGCTTTACTTCCGATGATAGCGGGTTCGATTCCTGGCACTGTACAAACATTTATATTGATGAGTATGATGGTTTGTATCGGTCTGGGTGTTTTTAATATATATTGTGTATATATTTTAAAAAATAATAATATCTAAGTATTTATATCAGTTGTCTAGTAACTATAACACAAGCTCTGCTTAGTAGATGGTGCTGTGTTAGTGGTCCAGGGTTTTTTATTTACTTATTATTATTTTTATATTCGAATTAGAATGTAATTTTTTTATATATTCGCTGTGCTTTTTATATGTTCTCTGAATCAAACGAGAGTATTTGTTAATTTTTAGTTTTACAACTGTATCGCTAGATGACGTAATTTTAATTTAGTTAATATTAGTAAGGATCTGTTATTCTGATGTATAAGCTATATTACTGCAAAATTTCATCAAAATCAGATCAGTAGTTTTTGCTTGAAAGAGAATAAACATCCATTCAATAACATTCACAACCTTCGGAGTTGTTTGTATATTGTACGTGCAAAATTTTATCATAAACTTAGTACAAGCAGTTTGAATAGCCATTTATTTTATAATTTAGCAATTTTGATGATACTCTCATTATTTTTCATAAAAAACGAAATACGAATACGAAATTTATATTCAATAAATGATAGGTATAAAATTAATTTATCACTAATTGATAAAATTGTATTTATATTTCATCATTCACCCTATTTATCATAATTTCATAATGCTTTTTTTGCTATGTACAAACAGATAAAAACTTATGTTGTAACAGCACATCACTGCGTGACGAAACTGCATATATCATCAATGTGTATTTTCCTGAAGAGTATCACAGATATCACGTCATCATGGGACGATTAAGAACTAGGTTATCATGTCTCCTCGCTTTCTAATTTCACTGACATATCAAATGAAATTAAATAAATAAATAACTTCTGGACAATTAAGCACAGCGCCATCTAGTCCCACAGTAAGCAGAGCTTATGTTATGGGTACTAGACAACTTATATAAATACTTAGATTTATTTTGTAAATACATCCATAATATACATAGAGAACAACCAGACCGATACAAAAATATTCATGAATACAAATGTTTGCAATATGCGAGGAATCGAACCCGTAATCATCGGAAGTAAAGCCGTGTGCTAAGCCCCTAGACTAAGGATGCCGTCGAATTTAAAAATATTTCTTCATACAGGACTTTTTAGCCTGCCATAATTTTTTAACACTATCCCTGCAGTATACATCTACCAGCTACTTAAATTGAGAAGAACTAACCAGAAAATCAACGGTTTTAAATAAGTAACTTTCTTAATGTTATTATTATTAGACAGTTTCTACGTTTAAATATTACATAGCGTTTATATCTAACATATCAAAAATGTCTTAACGTTTTCTGACGCCATTTATGGGCGTTATATATATATTTATTTCATTATATACATCTTACAAACCAGAACACAGTTTATAGAATAAGCTGCTCAGTGGCAGAAACATGTTACTTCAGTCACAAATGTGCAAGCTCCACTTAGACAACTCGACATACTATACTACGCTCTGTATACTACGCATTTATATAAATCAAATGACTTTACAGTACCTAAAAATTTATCAAAATTAGCACTGCAACGTTCTGACGACTATGTATTAAATTTGTATTAGTCAAATGACTAGAATAGGGCAGAGGAAGACCGAGAAAGAGACGGATGGACTGTGTGAAAGATAATATGGTAAGAAAGGAAGTATAGAAGTAAGAAAGGGATAACGAGATGACGACGCACAGGGATGAATGGAAGAGACAAACATATAATTTAGCAAATTAATTCCACTCTTTAAATCTGGAGATAGATTTGAGCTAGGCAACTATAGACCAATTTCTATTTTGCCAGTTCTAAGTAAAGTATTTGAAAAGATTATGTTTAACCAAATGTTAAAATACTTCAGGGATAACGGACTGCTTCACAGTCAGCAATATGGTTTCACTGCCGGCAAGTCTACTACTGATGCAGGCGTAGCGCTTATTACACATATATTCGAATCATGGGAAAACTCACAGGATGCTCTCGGCGTTTTTTGTGACTTGTCGAAGGCGTTTGATTGCGTAGATCATGAAACACTTTTGTACAAGCTCAAACATTATGGTATTAGAGATAATGACCTAAGTCTAATGAAAACTTATCTAGAGGATAGGGTGCAAACTGTAGATATTGATGGTGTAAAGTCTAAGGGAACTAATATAAAAATGGGCGTTCCTCAAGGTTCAATATTAGGCCCGTTTCTCTTTTTAATTTATATAAATGACCTTCCCTACATGGTAGAGAAAGTTGCAGATATAGTGTTATTTGCGGATGATACTTCGTTAGTGTTTAAAATTGGTCGCCAATGTAATCAATTAGACGATGTAAATTATGCTATCTCTGCTATACTAAATTGGTTCACATGTAATAATCTATTATTGAACTCCAACAAAACTAAGTGCATTAAATTCACGCTGCCTAATGTAAAACAAGTAAATACGCAGCTATTGCTTAATGATGAAATAGTAAATTTTGTTAATGATACAGTTTTTTTAGGAATAACAGTGGACTCGAAGTTACAATGGGGGCCCCATATTTCAAAATTAGCCAGTAGACTTAGTTCTGCTGCTTATGCAATTAGAAGGATAAGGCAATTAACAGACGTGGCGACGGCAAAACTTGTATATTTTAGTTATTTCCATAGCATTATGTCATATGGCATACTGCTATGGGGTAAAGCTGCCGATATAAATACTATATTTATTTTACAAAAGAGAGCCATACGTTCTATTTATGGTATGGGTTCTAGAGAGTCATTACGTCAATGCTTTAAACAATCAAATATCCTCACCGTTGCCTCACAGTACATTTATGAAAATATTATGTATACAAGGAAAAACTTAGATAGTTTCAAGAAACTTAAAGACTGTACAAGTAGAAACTTACGCAATAAAAATAAGCTAATTTTACCTAAATGCCGTCTACACAAAGTTAGTAATTCATTTTATGGTAATTGCGTAAGATTCTATAATAAACTGCCAGAGTCTACGCTAAATCTTACAGAGAGGCAATTCAAATCTTATATTAAACAAATGTTATGTAAAAAAGCCTATTATAAGATAGATGAATTTATAGATGATAGCAATATATAGCAAGAATAAGTTTATTTGCGGACAACGTTATAATTTTAATTTTCATACTGCTTTCTTGATATATGATAGCGTAGCGGCTTTTGTATTGATTGCCGCATGCATCCTTATGTAAAGTGCGAATACTGTAACTACCATATAGTAATTTTTATAGCTGTGACGTGGTCGTGTGGAATGAGTAGTCATGCTCACTAAAATGTCCAGACATGTGGCGGCGTGGTGGGCCGGGTCAATGGGCTCCCTAAAATATGGTCGAGCGCAGTGATGGCTGGCTCATCCGTCATACTCGTGAACGAGTGCTGCTTGTAGGGACTGGTCTGCTCTTATCACTACGACTGATTTAATCTTATTGCATATTTATATTTGACCCAAAAATTAGTGCTTGTTGGTAGTTTGTATTCACACGTTTCGACTTGTAAATGTAAACTTACAAGGATTATTTAAAAGAGCAACACACAAGTTTCTTGCTCGTTCTTCTTGTGATGAGACAGCTTTCCGAACGAGTGGTAGATAAAAAACAAATTGTTATGACTATTCAAAAGTGCTTAAATTAAGTTTATTTGAATAAATGATTTTCTATTCTATTCTATTCTATTACGCCGACCACAAATAAATGGGTTAAGGAAAAAGCAGATGATGATGGTCAAATGACAAGAGTCCCTGAAAATTATCCAAAAACCATACCTTAGGTTTCTATATTCACAAACACCATACATAAAATAATAAATACGTAAATACTAAGTTCAGTAACGTATATCCTATTTTAGAAGTATTTCAAAATTTTCCCTGAGGCTCATTTAATTATGTAAAGATTTATCTCTTCTTATTTTCTGTTTCAATTTATATAACTGGATTATTTTAAGTCGGTTTTTGAGAGTATTGTAGGTTTTGAACGTTACTCAAAATTAATGTGAAGTTTTTAATTTGTTTCTCTGGCCGTATCTAATATCTAATATCGTAGTTCTTAGAGAACAAATTTCAAATGGAAGAAGGATTGTAATTAATTCAGGCCCTACATAATCATTGAGAAGAGGTTGCTGTTAAAAACAGGTATTATAAATACGAAATTGAGTCTGAATTTTTGTTATCATATCGCGACTGAAAGATGAACGCATCTTAATGAAAATTGTTGTTAAGACGATGGTATCACGAAGACAGACATAGACTATAATTGATCTATTAATATATATTTAATTACTGCATGAGAGGAATTCTATTTTAGTCTTCTGAAGTAGCAACGCTTGAGTGGTATCGCGGATATCACAGATAACGATGTATGTTATGCTGTCCTTGTATATAGACGACGAATCCGCTAATGAGGGGGGAAGGGAATTGCCAGTAATGTGGAGTAATGATCCCATTGCTAGCAATGTACTATGTCAGATCGACCATCGACGCGGTTCCCCCTGGAAACCATCGTGATACATTTCCGGTGAATTTATCACGATGGGCTAACTGATCTGACTTCATGTTCATCCTATCATTCTCCACTGGTGCCCCGCCAGCGTAAACCGTTAGCGCCGGTGGGTGCACCATTCCATTATCATCCATTAAAAAAAAAGTATCCGCTAATGATCGGTAGGCCGTTAGCTTGTCAATTGAAATAAAAAAAAATGTAGTTTATATGTGATTTGTTTTTAAATTGGGGTACGGTAAATAATTTTATAATTGAGTGTATTAATCATCAATTTTATTACACATTATATGACAATAATAATGGCATAATCGAATTGAGGAAGAATAACTTTTCTAGCTATTCTTTAAAATGATTACAGAAGGCGTGCGGGTCCCAAACCGAGTCCAGCAGCTCCGATACCAATTCCACCAAGAGCTGGTGCTGCAATGGGAGCGAAACTCTCCTTGATGATGCCAATGTTGCCGGCGGTACCGCAGCCGCAACCAGCAGCGCCCGCGCCTTCAGACGCCAGCGCACCCTCAAACGCCACAGCGCTCAAGAACGGCAGTTGTCCAACGACCGCCAAAGGTCCTTCGATAGTATTCTGTGACACCACGGTGAGGCCAGTTGGAGCGATGGGAGAGAAGCTGTTGATGGGCAAAACATCGCCGGTGGAGAATGACGTGATATCCAGGAATGCAGTAGTGGGAGCAGGCAACAAAGTGTTACCGATTACAGCAGAGTTGGCTAAACCAGAGCTGATGACACCAGTATTGGCCAAACCGAGTCCAGAGCCGATCAAGCCAGTATTGGCCAAACCAATTCCGGAGCCAATCAAGCCATTGTTAGCCAAACCCAAACCAGCATTGTTAGAAACGACGACGGATGTATCGACAACGGTGCTCTCAGTGACTGTGGCAAAAGATGGAGTTGTGGTGTAGGTAGGCCGCACTACACTTCGGCTGAACGCACACTGTAAAGTAATGATAATTATATAGAATTGTACATAAATTGTAAATCTATATTTACTACTTTTTAGACGAAGATTACACATACATCTATCGCTTAGATGTATGTGTAATCTAGCGGTTTAGCAACCTCTTTACTTCCAATTTTCGCGGGTTCGATTCCTCGTACGAGACAAACATTTTTATTCATGAGTATGATCGTTTGTATTGGTATCGTATTTTCTATGTATAATATGTATTTATTTACAAAAAATATGTATGTATTTGTATCAGTTATCTAGTACCCATAACAAGTTTTAGCAAACTTGGGTCTAGATGGAGTTGTGTGAATTGTCCTGAGATTATTATTATGTATTTATAAAAAAAAACTTCTAAGCTAATGTTTATCAGTTGTCTATTACCGATAACACAAGGTCTGCTTGCTTCGGGCTAGAATATCTCTACTTAACATGGGACTAGATTGGCACTGTGTGAGTTGTCCTGGGATTAAAACAAAATTCAGACCAAATCTACATTGCACAACTTTCATAAATAGTTTTCGCTTCTTGTTAAGATGTTTACAATTACAGTTAGTAGGCTATTTCTATATAGAAATAAAACTAGGATTAGTATTAGGAATTTACTTTACCTGAACCAGGAAAGCCTGCACGCAACAAAAAATTACGATCTTGGATGCCATCTTGAAGACAAATGTAGAACGAATGTATTTTGAAAATCAAACGGATTCCTTATATATACTTACTGACCTCATAATGAATTCTATTTACTTATTGTGTCGTCCCTTATCAATACGTAACGCTACAATATAAATTTCACGTTTTACAAAACAATGCACATTTGTGAAATTATATAGATTATGTGTTATTTCAAAATAAAAATTATTAGTATAAAAGGTTGGTGTTAGTTTGAAAAATATCATTCAGTGTTCATTCAACATTGTTAAACATGTCTTCCTTCACTTTCTTGTTGCTTTGCATCCAGGCTTGTCTGATCCAGGTAATTGTTTAAACAAATTAGTTGCTTTAAATTTATATTTTCTTTACCAGTTAAAAGTTTATTTACAATACTCTATGGTCTTCCAACTATTTCTGTATAATACTTACATAAATTTGATCTATTATTTATTATTTAGTAGACACATATTAATAATATTTCTGACTAATTCACATAGCACCATCTAGTCCCAAGCTGCTTAGCTAGTATTATGGATGCTAGAAAACTGATACAGATACATTTTTTTAAAGCAATAGAAAACACCCAGTCCGATACAAATAATCATACTCATAAATACAAATATTTGTGTCATATGAGGAATTTAACCCGCAACCATCAGAAGTAAGACGGTGTGCTAAACCGTTAGACCACCGTGCCGCCAAATATTATATTATTCTACTTTGCATATATTATTGATTTGAGGAATGACATATATCTCCTAAATGCCAAGCAGATGTGAAATCAGTCAGGTTTTTTGACTTAGTGACGACTTCTTGTTTCAGAATGCCTACAGTCAAATAGCGGGGCCCTGGTTGCCTGGACGCGGGTACGGTGCAGTCAGCGAGGCAGCCGCCAGTGCAGCCGTCGACGTCGAGACTGTCAACCGAGGAGGATGGGGCTACGGTGCTCCGCTAGCTGGCTATGGACTCGGTAATGGATATGGCTTGGCTGGTGGAGCAGCTAGTGCTAGCGCAGCCGCTGCCGCTGAAGCATCCGGTTTTGGCATCGGTAACTTGGGATATGGAGGTCTAGCTGGAGCTAACGCTGCGGCTGCAGCCAACGCTGGTGCCTATACTGGACTTGGAAACTTAGGATACGGAAGTCTGGTTGATGCTAGCGCTGCGGCTGCGGCTGCGGCTAGCGCTGGTGGATTTACTGGCATTGGTAACTTGGGATACGGAGGTTTGGCTGGAGCCGGTGCAGTGGCTGGAGCTAACGCGCTGGCTGGCGCTGGCATAGCTGGAATTGCTGCACCTGGTCTCGCCATCCCTAACACCGGCTACGGCGGTGTAGGTAACGGTCTGGTTGCTGTCAACGGTGACCTGCCAGTCGTTGGTACCACCTTTGTAAATGGTCAAGTGCCAGTGCTCGGCGCTGTACAGTTCAGCGGCAACCTGCCAGCTGCAGGCACTGTTGCTATCTCTGGAAACTGTGCATGCGGTGGTCGTGGCCCCGTGCTGTACTAAATCTTCTAAGTTGTAGATTTTTGCGATAAATGAGATATGTAATAATCCCTGAAGAATTAATCAACGACTGCCACCCAATGATTTAGTGTTCCACCACGTTTCAGTTCTACGAATTTTAACTTATTGTTTTCTCAACGCATTGCTTTCTCTTTTCTTGCTGCAGTCTTCAATTGACTGTCTGCAGCTATGCCTGTATCAGCTATGCTGATTATTCATTACTTTTTTTACAAAATAAATTGATGGATGTTTAAACTTTAACGTATTTTATTACCTTTACGGACACCTTAAAACCTAAGTGATACGTGATATGCGATAATTTTCCTTCTTCCGACGCTTAAATAATGAAATCAAGTACTGTTAGACTTCATTATGCTTTTTCACTAAAAGTACCTACCTATTAGAAAAGTATTAACAAAAAAATGTTGAAGGTTATAAAATATATTCACGGTTTTAGGCCCTAATGTTTTACAATGGTTCCCTTCAATAGAATCGTTTGCTTCTTTGTTAAAAAGAAATATTTTATTAAATACTTTAGACCCGTCCAGGCTTAGCACGGATACACAAATCTTTGAATTTCTCGGCTTGTTCTATATTATAACGAATCACTTTATCTACTAAAAACTGCATTAAAATTCTTTGATTGATTTAAAAGATACAAGCAAACAGACAGACTTTGTTTTATATGTATGTTTTATATGTAAAGATGCATATAACGATTTAAAAAATAACAATCAAAATAAAGAATTCATGACCACGGACGTTCTAATCTTACACGTGCTTGTAAATGAAAGATTTTTGAATCCTGAATTCATTTCTTTTCATAACGCAATTGGAGTGGCAAATAGGCTGATTGCTTACTTGATGGTAACTAAGTGGTAATCGTCGCCTATACATGAAGAGTACCAACTTCTCTCTTCTCTGACATGACAATAATAAGACTCTCTTAAATGACAATAATAAATTAATCTTTCATATAGCGTATTGTTTGATTAATTCATAATTTCAATTAGTGGTAATATATAATTAAGTACAAAGGAGAGTATGCTCAGATATGACAGCTGATAGGGATCTGTGGAAGAAGAGGACATATTGCGCCGACAAATAATGGGATAAAAGCAAAGCAATGATCATCATTGCCATGGCTTTATCCCATTATTTGTGGTCGGCGCAGTATGTCATTCTGTTCCACTACTCTCTATAGGTCGTTATATTTGAACATACTCTTCTTTTATTCATATCATCTTTCACACAATACATCCATCTTTTCTTAGGGCGTCCCTCCCTTTACATCCATCCACATTCATCCACAAACAAAAGCAAAGCAATGATGATGATTATATATTTAACAACATATTCTGTTAATATTTAAGCTACAAAGTTCAAACTGGTGGCGGCGTGGTGGGCCGGGTTAATATGTTCCCTCTAATATGGTTGAGTGCAATGATAGCTCATCCGTCATACTCGTGAACGGGTGTTCACGAAACGAGCTTCCGGGGACTGGTCTGTTCAGGTTACGAACACTGATTAGATTTCACTGTTTTTGCAATAGCATATGCTGGTGGTCACTCTATTCTCCCAAATTTGAATTTAAATAACTCTGTATTATTGTAAACATGCACAACATATATTTGAAAACAATACGAACTGAGTCTGTCACGTTAGTTCTTCTCATCTCGTAATCATTCCGAACTGACCATAGATTTGACATATCATAATCTGTAATAGACCTACATGAATAAAGATATTTTGATTTTAAATTTCTTCGCGATTACTCCGTCCAATTATAGGTGAAACACGTGTAATATAACTTTAACATTTTCTTTCGTTCCATTCATGAGACATGTACAACTTTCTGCATTTCTCCTCTACTTAGATTGTCTGGAAGAGATTGCATAAGCGCTATAGCCGCCGTTTGTACCTCAATTACTAAATTGTTTTCATTGTACACTAAAAAGTAATAAATAAATAAAATAAACTATGAACACACAACAGATAAAAATTTGTCTTTTCTTATATTTTAATTTTTAATTTTATTTTAAAAAAACATCGAAAAATATGATGTATGAATAATAAAGAAGGATAGATTATTTAAATTATTAAAAGGATAGAAATAGAGAAAATAACAAAAATCATCGAATAATGTAATTTTACAGCCTTATCGACTATAGGTTAACGCATTTATACAATATTATCTGTGACCGTGGATTCGCAATCATGATGTGTTAATCTGATGCTATATTACTGTAAAATTTCATCAAAATCCTTTCTATAGTGTTTGCGTGAAAGAATAACAAACATCCATCCTTCTGTCCATTCATACTCACAAACAAAACGTATTATGTAACATTACATATTATGTAATATTACCAGAACTATATATATATATATATATATACGACCTTATATACTTATATGATGACCTCGGTGGTCTAGCGGTTTAGCACACCGCTTTACGTCCGATGGTCGCGGGTTCGATTCCTCGCACGGCACAAACATTTGTATTCATGAATATGATTGTTTGTATCGGTCTGAGTGTTTTCTATGTATATTATGTATGTATTTACGAAAAAAAATTATCTATGTATTTGTATCAGTTATCTAGTACCCATAACACAAGCTTTAGCTAGCTTAATTTGAGTCTAGATGGCGCTGTGTGAATTGTCTTGGGATTATTATTATTATATTTTACTATTTACAATATTGAATTTTTGTTTTTTATTTGTTTATCTATAAATTATAAACACACACGTAATTTTATTAAAAAATAATTCCCGTATCTGGAGACATTGACACTATAACTGGAAAGTATAATCACCTCACCAATGTAGCGGTATATATAATGTGATGAGGTGTCGCTACATCATTTATTTGTTTATTGTAGTATCTCGGTAGTGAGTATATAGGTGAATTTTTTGTACTATTTATTGTACGTTAGTAAGTTTATTTGGTAGTGTGCTACTTAGCTTATTGGTAACGCGTACATTCGACGCGGAGTCGTCACGTGGTCTGACTTTACACTTAACTTAAATCTATGTTATCTGGAGAGGTACTAGTAGAAGAATCTCGAGTTTTTAATGACTAATATTTGCTAAGAACTGTGTTACAGCAGATTATAATCCATAAAATAGTATTGTTTGCATAATAGATGGCGCTGTAACAAAATTGAAACTCGCTAACGTTTCGTTTTATAGAAAGTTCATATGTATTTTACTTTATAACATTTTTTGTACCTGTACCCGTATTTGAAATCGACCAATAAACCTTATATACACGAGTGCAGTGTTTTGGTTTATTCCCCTCCGATCGATCCCCCGTACAATTCAAACGGGGATCGAAATCACGACGGCCTGAGCCGAGGTTCGAACCCCTAGTGGTGCCCTCAGACTAAAGTCATATCCATCAGACAGGAGTTGGGCTTCAGCCGCTCCATAAGTCCTTCCGCGGGTTTAGAGTACCATCTGCACTCGCCCCCTAACGTCCGGTAAAGCTGTAAAGGCCAGCTGAGGCCAACAGCATTACAGTCCGAAAAAAAAAAATTTGGTTTATAGTATCCTTAGGACCTTGTGGTTTTAACAGACTGTATATTTTATTTTTAGTATATTAAGAGAAACTACGGTCCCTGATGGTAAAAGACATACATTTCAAAATTGACAATAAAAATAGAACGAAGGAAACAGATTATTAAATCGTATATATAAAAAAATATAAAAATTTAAAAAGGTGCGTCATGCACACAAATGTTGACAAAAATATTACAAGTGTAAACACATAGGTACATATATATTTTGGTCAATATAGGCGGAATCATAATAAAAGGATTCTACTGTATCTGTTTACTTATTGAAAGATAGGAAAGATATCTTAAGTAACCTTTAGTGATCTTTGTTTTGCTATGATCAAAAGACAATTTTAAAAAGATGTTTAAATAAATTCACACAGCACAATCTAGTCCCAAGCTGAGCGGAGCTTATGTTATGGGTATTAGAGAACTGATCTCTAGTCCTATCATCAATTCGTTCACCCAAATTTATATTATGAGAGCATGGTTTTAGCTTCAATTTCTTATGATCGCCCGCCTGCCTGACGTCAACCATCCTTAATACTTCATGTATATACCTACATACATAATATACATAGACAACACCCAGACTGATACAAACAATCATACTCATGAATACAAATGTTTCAGAGGTACGAGGAATTGATTTAAGATTGTGTGCTAAACCATTAGACCACCGTGGTCTTCTGAACGTCAATAGTGGGAGTGAAAGAAATGAAATATGTAAATTTTTATCAATCCAACAATTTATTGAGAAGTATGTAGCCTGGAAGTAAATTATTATTGATTATTGAAGTTGCAAGAAGCACAGAATCGTAATCTGTAACGTATTCTTCAGGGATTACGATGGAAATTCATTTGGATGGCTTAGTACAGTATGGGGCCACGACCACCGCATGCACAGTTTCCAGAAATAGCAACAGTTCCAGCAGCTGGCAGGTTGCCGCTGAACTGTACAGCGCCGAGCACTGGAACTTGACCATTTACAAGGGTTTTACCAACGACTGGCAGGTCACCGTTGACACCGAACACACCGTTACCAACACCGCCGTAGCCTGTGTTAGGGATGGCGAGACCAGGTGCAGCAATGCCAGCTATGCCACCAGCTCCAGCCAGGGCGTTAGCTCCAGCTACAGCACCGGCTCCAGCCAGACCTCCGTATCCCAGGTTACCGATGCCAGTGTATCCACCAGCGCTAGCTGCAGCCGCAGCGTTAGCTCCAGCTAGATTTCCATATCCCAAGTTTCCGAGGCCAGTATATCCACTAGCACTTGCCGCAGCAGCAGCACTAGATTCAGCCAGACCTCCGTATCCCAAGTTTCCGAGGCCAGTGTATCCAGCGGCGTTGGCTGCAGCGGCAGCGTTAGCTCCAGCTAGACCTCCATATCCCAAGTTTCCGAGGCCAGTGTATCCACTAGCGCTAGCCGCAGCCGCAGCGCTAGATTCAGCCAGACCTCCGTATCCCAAGTTACCGAGGCCAGTATATCCAGCGGCGTTGGCTGCAGCCGCAGCGTTAGCTCCAGCTAGACCTCCATATCCCAAGTTACCGATGCCAAATCCGGATGCTTCAGCGGCTGCGCTAGCACTAGCGGCTCCACCAGCTAAAGTGTTACCGCGTCCAGGTAACCAGGGTCCCACTATCTGACTGTAGGCATTCTGAAACAAGAGGCATGACCAAGTTATAAACCAAATTTAATTTCTGCTTTGCAATTAAGAATCATATATCATTCCTCAAATCAGAATAAAAGAAAAGAAATTATTGTATGTATAGAAAAGAAAATTAATTATTTGCAAAGGAAAATGATATGATCATAAATAGATCAAGTTTATGCGAATTTTGATGAATTGCACACTGCCTTGCTGCCGATTTATGAGGATGTTTATTTGTATTGTCTGGGTATTTCTTAGGTATGTTAAGTCATGTATTTAAAAAAAAAATATTTCGATCAGTTATTTTAACCTATAACGCAAGCTCTATTTAGTTTAGGTCTAGATGGCGCTGTGTGATTGTCCTAATTTTTATTTTTTTATACAGATATTGCTGCAAAATAAGGAAGTACCATAGTTTAACTTCGGCAACTGTCTTAAAGAAAATTAAAATTTATATTTAACAAAAATTGTATAAACTTACCTGAATCAGACAAGCCTGGATGCAAACCAACAATAAAGTGAAGGAAGACATGTTTCACTGTTGAATGAACACTGAATGATGTTTTTCAAACTAACACCAACCTTTTTATACTGACAATATTATTTTGAAATAACACATAATCTATATCATTTCACAAATGTGCATTGTTAAATTAAAATTAAATGCAATGTTGCTTTGTAAAACGTGTAATTAATATTGTAGCATTACGTATTGATAAGAGACGACACAATAAGTAAATATAATATCATTATGAGGTCACTAAGTATATAAAAGGAATAAATTTGATTTTCAAAATACATTCGTTCTACATTTGTCTTCAAAATGGCATCCAAAATCGTAATTGTTTGCTGCGTGCAGGCTTTCCTGATCCAGGTAAAGTAAAAATAAATACTAAACTATTTTATAATTATTTCTACATGGAAAGGGCAACAGTATTCATTCAATTACAATGTCAATTAAGCTGACGGTACACTGAACAAGATATAGCAACTTTCGTCTAGCAAGCTGCTTAGCTGTTAGAGTGAAACACCCACGCAAATGATCTTACATGATTTTCCTATAGAATATCCTCACTGATTTTCTAGAGGAACATTTACTTATTTATTTATCCTTCATTGCACTATCTAAAATAAATATATAATTGGCGAGCTTGATGCCATATGGCATTATTTACAAGTTAAATATTCATAAAAACAAAAATCGGTTGAACATTGGCATACTATTGGTATTTACCTAACTTAGGCAAATTATATAATGTTAGTGAATTACAAAAAGAGGTACAATTTAAAAATGATAATAATACTTACGTATTTATTATTTTACAGTGCGCATTCAGCCGAAGTGTGGTACGACCTACCATCCCATCAGTTGCTATCGCTGAGAGCGCTGCTGTAGATACATCCGTTGTTGTTTCTAACAATGTCGGTTTGGGTTTAGCTAACAATGGTTTGATTGGTTCCGGACTCGGATTGGCCAACACTGGCTTGATTGGCTCTGGAATTGGTTTAGCAAATACAGGCTTGTATGGCTCTGGACTCGGATTGGCCAATACTGGTGTCATTAGCTCCGGTTTAGCCAACTCTGCTGTAATCGGTAACACTTTACTGCCTGCTCCCAGCGCTGCATTCCTGGATATCACATCATTCTCTACCGGCGATGTTCTGCCCATCAACAGCTTCTCTCCCATCGCTCCAGCTGGCATCACTGTGGTGTCACAGAATACTATCGAAGGACCTTTGGCGGTCGTTGGACAACTGCCGTTCTTGAGCGCTGTGGCGTTTGAGGGTGCGCTGGCGTCTGAAGGCGCGGGCGCTGCTGGTTGCGGCTGCGGTACCGCCGGCAACATTGGCATCATCAAGGAGACTTTCGCTCCCATTGCAGCACCAGCTCTTGGTGGAATCGGTATCGGAGCTGCTGGACTCGGCTTGGGACCCGCACGCCTTCTTTAATCAATAGATATAAAAGTGCTGAAATTTACATTCTTCCGCAATTTTTGTATGATATGAAATAAATTGAATGACTAATAATAATGTTTGCATATAAAATAATTTAGTTCCCCTATCGATACTGATATTACAGAACAAGTACTTCCAATACACTTACAATTTTATTAAGATAATAATAATGGACAATTTAACAGTACCATCTAGTCCCAATTTAAGCAGAGCTTGTGTTATGGGTACTAGACAACTGACATAAATACTTAGATACATTTTGTGAATACATACATACATAGAAAACACCGAAACCAATACAAATAATCATACTCGTGAATTTATATTCACCCGAACCCGCGACCATCGGAAGTAAAGCGGCGGGCTAAACCGCTAGACATACAGGATGTTTTTTTTACGTGTATGATAATGGAATGATGCACCCGCCTGCGCTAACGGTTTACGCTGGCGTGACACCAGTGGAGGATGATAGGATGAACATGAAGTCAGATCAGTTATCCCATCATGATAAATTCACCGGGAATTTATCACGATGGTTTCCAGGGGGAACCGTGTGGAGGTCAACCTGACATGGTACAGTGCTAGTATCATCATCACATCATCATCATAGGTCATGAGTCCACATTACTAACAATCCCTTTCCCCCCCACATATAGGGTGTTTTCTATGTATGTATTTACATAAAAAATCTATGTATTTAAATATATCAGTTGTCTAGTACCCATAACACAAGCTCTGCTTACCGTGGGACTAAATGGCACTGTGTTAATTGTCCAGGTTTAATTATTATTGTTATTATTTCATACTAATTAGGTCTCTATGTAATGTTAATCCACATGTACATACATTAAAATCCCATCAAATATAATAATCAGTAAAAATATTATAGTTACAGTAAAATAATCTATAATTATTTGAAGATTATCTAATCTTTGTATGTGTATTATACCTAATATTATTATTTTAGTAAGTGTCTTAATAATGTATTAATAACAACTTTTTGTATGGCTTAATATAATAATACTAATAATAATTACAATTTTAGCATTTTCGAAATGTTAGTATATCAATTTTGTTGTGCTCCCACAGGGTTAGATCTTGGACCTTGTGAGGTCACAGAAAACTTGGCATGAAAATCTTTATAAACATACATATTTATTTAAGTCGCAATCATTTCAAAAGAGATCAGCCTAGATGGCTAAAAAGCAAATTTTACTATACTATGTGCGCTGTAGGATGGCGCGGTTGACAGATGCCTTTATTTGTAGACTAGAACATTCTGGCTGGGTTAAATTTAAGTTACTACAGTAATTAATACATTTGTAAATCGCGGCAACTTTCAAGACTGAAACGAAACATTACTAAAACCCCCACCATGCTACAGTGCACATGGATAGTAAAATTTGCTTTTTAGCCATCTATGCAGATCTCTTTTGAAATTATTGCGACTTAAATTTTATTTTAAATGCTATATGTTTATAAACATTTTCATGCCAAGTTTTTCACCCACTATAGTGTTCAGGAGAATTTACAGACTTAAAATAATTGACATGTACGAGTATGTAAATAAAGATTTCATGTCAATCTAGTTTCTTAATCATCATTGCCTTGCCTTTATCCCATTATTTGGGGTCGGCGCAGTATGTCATTCTCTTCCACTGCTCTCTATCGGTCGTCATATCTGAACATACTCTTCATTTATTCATATCATCACAATCTAGTTTCTTAATATTGACATCTAAATAACAGCTCTTTAATTATAAGAATAACTAAAATTGACTTTTGTTTAGTCTATTGCATGTCTTAAAGGACGGCGTGAAACTAATAATAAGACTTAATAAACCATATAATAGTAATAAATAAATTCTTGTCCTTACTAATATTATAAATTCGAAAGAAACTGTATCTGTTCGTCTGTCTCGCTTTTACACCAAATTTATTAAACCTATTTAAATAAAATTTGGTATACAGATAGTCTAGACCCTGAGGAAGAAAATTAAAAAATGATTAAATTATAAAAACATACATCTTTCTTTTCAGATTTTAATTAAACTTCAATAAACTGTAGTTAGTGAGCAAGATAGAGTCAAGATGTTCAAAAGAGTAAGTGAAAGAAGAGTAAAAGAAATAAAATATGTGAATTTATATCAATCGAACAATTTATTGACCATGAATTTTGTTTTAAAGTAATATTATAATTACCAAAGTTGCTAGAAGTATTATTGTAAAGTTTGACATATGGCTTCGGTAAACGACACAATGTCTAGTACTGACATTGGTTGTAAAGTATACAAAAGATATCTTAAGATGTATGAATCTCAAGTATCTGCAGATTCTAGCGTGGCATTGGTGGTTTCGGCATTAGTAGAAGGAGACTTATTCGATATATTAGTGCTTTAAATTTTGATTAAGTCTTTTGTTTTATCGAATATAATAATATCGAATAAACATATTTTCTTTCTTTCCAATTATTATTAATAAGATTTATAAATCTTAAATAAGGTGTAGCACTAAAACTACGACAGTAGCTGTTAATATTTTATTCTTCAGGAATTTAAAAATAACAAATTGCTTTGGTAATTTAGTAAATTATGGGGCCGCGACCACCGCATGCACAGTTTCCAGTGATAGCAACAGTGCCTGCAGCTGGCAGGTTGCCGCTGAACTGTACAGCGCCGAGTACTGGCACTTGACCATTTACAAGGGTTGTACCAACGACTGGTAGGTCACCGTTGACAAGGATCAGACCGTTACCAACACCGCCGTAGCCTGTGTTAGGGATGGCGAGACCAGGTGCAGCAATGCCAGCTATGCCACCAGCTCCAGCCAGGGCGTTAGCTCCAGCCACAGCACCGGCTCCAGCCAGACCTCCGTATCCCAAGTTACCGATGCCAGTGTACCCACCAGCGCTAGCTGCAGCCGCAGCATTAGCTCCAGCTAGATTTCCATATCCCAAGTTTCCAAGGCCAGTGTAACCAGCGGCGTTGGCTGCAGCAGCAGCGTTAGCTCCAGCTAGACCTCCATATCCCAAGTTTCCGAGGCCAGTGTATCCAGCGGCGTTGGCTGCAGCGGCAGCGTTAGCTCCAGCTAGACCTCCATATCCCAAGTTTCCGAGGCCAGTGTATCCACCAGCGCTAGCCGCAGCCGCAGCGCTAGATTCAGCCAGACCTCCGTATCCCAAGTTACCGAGGCCAGTATATCCAGCGGCGTTGGCTGCAGCCGCAGCGTTAGCTCCAGCTAGACCTCCATATCCCAAGTTACCGATGCCAAATCCGGATGCTTCAGCAGCTGCGCTAGCACTAGCTGCTCCACCAGCTAAAGTGTTACCGCGTCCAGGTAACCAGGGTCCCACTATCTGACTGTAGGCATTCTGAAACAAGAAGACGTCAGGAAGTCAGAAAACTGGATTGTTTTCCTTGCTTATAGAATATTTAAATTAATATCAAATTTGTTAAACTATCTTGTAACTAGTGTAGTATGTATTTTGTTAACTGTGGTTTGTTTTGACAATTACCTGGATAAGGCAAGCCTTGATGCAAACCAACAAGAAAGCAAACTTGAACATGTTTAACAATGTTGAATAAACACCGAATGATAATTTCAAACTAACACCGACCTTTTATACTAAACATTTTTATTTTGAAATAACACATAATCTATATCGTTTCACAAATGTGCATTGTTTTGTAAAACGTAAAATTAATGTTGTAGTATTACGTATTGATAAGAGAGTTGACACAAAGTATCTATATTAGGTCAGTCACTATTGACGACAGGCGACACATATAAGCGGCGTCGCGACGCACCTATAATATTTGTGTAGATTAGGTAGACAATAAGTTGTGTGTTGAAATTGGACAATAACTTAGAAATAATATTAGTTTTTAAAAGTGCTGTTTTAGAATAAGACATCGATTCACTGTTTAAAACTACGATAACGGTTGAACATCTGTTTGGGTACCAGCGTTCATTTGGCATTCATTGTTTATAAACACAATGAATATTTGTTGGCCTTTTGTGATAAGATAACACCGTTACTATTTTCTAGCCATCGGGTTTATGATGACCGTAGGGTTTCTTATTGTAAACATATTCTTATTGTAGACTAACGGACGGAACACGGTAATTCATGTCTTTATGAATATTGTCCAATCCGTGTTTACAGTGCATTGTAATTAGACAAGGAAATTGGTTATTGCACCAATGTTAAATATTCTTGGGTGGAGTTGTAAAATGCAATGCATTCTTTATGAGTAACTGTTAGTTTGTGAGAATAAAGAAGTAAGGGAATTTCGGCAATGTGCAAAGATATTGTTATGAAGTTGTATAACGTTGTGCATTGTCTGATAGAAATAAGGTTTGGTTTATTGCCAGTAAGAATTTTGTAAGGACTGTAGTCCCCACTACAGTCTATACCTCCCATATATAAGGCGAGGAATTTTTGTATCGAGTTAGTCGTAATATAGTTATAATGGAGTCATAATACTGTTATACAGACTCAGACAGTCATAGTCGGATTGTTATATGCCGACGGCTGTCATAATCGAACACAGTACGGACGGCAGTTATAGTCCGTTATTATTGTAAAGTAAGTCGCGGTAGTTTCCTATAGACGCCATACAGTCTGAGCTACAGCGGCTGAAACTTGAATGTAACATCGAATACGGTTATAACTCAATTGTGAAACTTCTGTGGAGAGAATAAACAGGCTTCGAGAGACAACCGTTTCTTTCAAACCCCACCATCGATACAGTCCACTGCTCTCCCTGAGGAGCTGTCGCCAACAGAGTTGGACCTTCGAGCGCCGGATCTGCTGACAGCGACCTACGGAGATAAAATGGTAGTCACAAGAGGCCAAGCGGAACGTGATGAACAAGCGGCAGCGCTAGATGAAAAATCACCACAGTCACCGTCAATGAATAGGGTGGGCCCCCAGGAACATCGGAGCCCCGGTGACACCGTACCCTCCACACGCCGCGGATATCAGGTTGAAA